CGCAGCCTCTGCAATGCCGGTTCGAGCCCCGGCCACCGGGTGAGGGTCCCACATGGCACGCAGACCTGTCCTGCCGCCCGCTGCTCCCCTCAGCAGTGTACTTCGGTCCTTTCTGCCTGCTCTGCTCCCCGCTCTGGCTCTGGTGAATTCTCTCACCCTCCCGTGCTTCTGACTGTACCCAGTGCTTGCATAAATAAATAAATGAATCTTTAAAAAAAAAAATTAAAAAAAAATCCTCCATATCATCATTTGGCATTTCAATTATAATAAATTCCGGAATATAGATGATATAGTATGAAACCATTAAAATGAATGATAGATGAATATTACTGACATTACAGTGTGTTCTAGGATAATAATATTCAAAAGACAACATCTATAGTATCAACCTGTTTTATAATTTAGTATATTTAGTATATATATATATAAAAGGAAGTCTGGAAAAGTGCATAAAATTCTACTGCCAATTATCAGCATATGGTAGAACTTAATTTTTACATTATAAATATCTGCATGAATATTTGAATTTTTACTATCAGCACATAAACATTGTTAACAAAGAATTTTTGATGATGTTTATATAGCAAGTATAATATCATAGAAATAAAATTATAACATAATGTTAATTTAAGAAAGCATCAATAAACATCTTATGTACAATATGATCAAAATTACAATATGCATGGAAACAGACCCCAAAAATTTGCTCACAAATTTAATTAAAATTCTCTTTGGATTGTGCTGGTTTTTTTCCCCCTTTTGCATGATTCTGTATTATTCATATTGTCTCTGAGTTTTCCTACTTTTATTTTTACTGTTTATTATGAAATTTTCCAAATGAGCAAAGAAAAATGATCTAAGTACCACATATCTAGTGGCCAGTTTTAAAACATCAAAATTCAGATATTCAAGTGTTATCTTGCCCCCACCTGTTTTTTTACATTGTGTCATTTTATTCTATGCACTTTAGAAAGTCACATTCTCATGTAAGTCACAAAACCATTTCATCCATTAAAAAATTAATAAAATTCCTGTTATCTAATATGAATCCCATATTGAAAAATCTCTGATTGCCTAAGACATGCTTTTTCCTAAAGGAAAATTTAAACAAGTTCTCGTCATTGTGTTCTGCTTTGCCTATGCTTCCTACTCCAGCAGTGTTCGAGCTGAATTGTATCCAGGCCCCAATGTTGTATGTTGAAATCCTAGTATCAGTACCTCAGAATGTGACTGCTTTAGGAAGAGGGCCTTTAAAGAGGGAAGTTTAAATTAGGTTGTAACAGTGGGCCCTCCTAATACACTGTTACTGATGTAACAGGAAATTACGGCATAGACAGGTATACTGAGAGAATCCAACCATATGAAGACTCAGAGAAAGCAGGCATCTATGTGTCAAGGAAAGAGGCTATAGAAGAAACTAATTGTGAGGACACCTTAACCTGGCACTTCTAACCTCCAGGATTGTGAGAAAATAGATTTCTATTTATGGCACCAGTCTGTGGTACTTTGGCAGGTCTAGTAAACTGATACAAGGAGGAAAGTCAATATCTGTTCTGATTGGTTAATAGATATTCTGCACATAAGATTAAATATATTTTATGTCAATAGTTATGTTTAAATCATAAAGACACTGCTTACTGTTTATTAAATGTTTGTGAATAGACTAAATCTATTTTCAGGACTTACCACTAGTATTCTTTTTAAAAAATTATGTTTATTGAGTTAATTTGCATTGACAACAGTCTATAGGATTTAGGGGTATAGATTACACTTCTAGAAATATATGTTAGCACATCATACCCACCACAAACCCCCCAAAAGCCTACCCCATCCCCTCCATTGACACCTTCTAATAGAGTCAGATCTGCCATCAAATGTCAAGGCTTTGATTTGCTTTTTTCTGTTGATTTGCTTTCTTTCTCCATATTCCATATATGAGTGAAGTTATTATTTTCTTTATCCTTTTGACATTTGGTAGTGTATTTTACTTAGTATAAATGTTCTATCCATGTCATCAAAATGGCAAGATTTCATCTTTTTTTCCCTAAGTAGCTAAGTAGTATTTAATTGTGTATTTATAACACCATTTTTAAAAAATTATTATTCACTCATCTATCCTTGGGTACTTAAGATTGTTTTTACACCTTGGTTGTTGTAAATAGTCTTGCAATGGATATAGGAGTTCACATATCTCTTGGAAGTAACGTTTTTGCATTCCTTGGGTAGAAGCCTCGGAGAAGGATTGTTAGATCATACGGTAGATTTATGTATGCTTTGACAAACCTCTATACTATTTTCCCTAAAGGTTGGGCTAAATTTCAACCAACCAACAGTATATGAGGATTCCTTTCCTCCACACCTTCACCAACAATTGTTTCTGATCTTTTTCATATTGATCATTCTCACAGGTGTGACGTGGCATCTCATTCTGTTTTTTTTTTTTAATTCTGGTTTTTATCTGCATTTCCCTGATCGTAAGAGATGATAAACATTTTTTTCATGTGCTAGTTGGTGATTTAGATGTCCTTTTTGAAAATGTGTCTATTTACATACAGATGGCCAACAGGCACAAGAAAAAAAGACTCATAGTCTCTTGCGATCATAGAAATACAAGTAAAAGCACAGGGGGTTTTGGGGTATGCCTGGGTTTATTTTGCTTGGAACTTTTTGACCTTCCTAGATCTGGATGCCTTCCCTTGTTTGGGGAATTTCTCAGCAATTATTTCTTCAAGCAGATTTTCTGGTCCATTCTCTTCTTCTGGAACCACTATGATACAATATTGTCCTCGATGCTGTCCCATAAGGATCTTATGTTTTCTTCATCTTTGTTAATTCTCTATGTTTTTTGCTGGTTTTTCTGGATGCTTTTCACTATCCTATCTTCTAGAAATGTTTCTGTTATTTTTCTTAGCCTCATTGAGTTTATTGTTGAGCCTCTTATTATATTTTTTAGTTCAATTATTGCATTCTTTATCTATCTTGTTTAGAAACCAAGATCTAGATGCTATGTGCTTATTACTTTTAAGGAATCATTACCCTAAGATTTGTAGCAGAGAGAGTTAGGGAAGATGGATCAATCGATAGACAGACAGATAGATAGGAAGAGATACAGGCAGACATTTATCTATATTTCTCTCTCTATTTACATATATATTGAAAACTGTGAGTTCATAATAAGATACTTCCAATTCAGTATCACCTTAAGCATCATCCTGAAATTCCTTCTTTCTCATTTGTAACTCTCTTCTCTGTTAGGAAGAAGCATACAACACATAGCTTCTAGAAGGAGCTCTATGTATATCATCTGTTGTTAGTGTCACGAACATTCAACAAATATTCATGAAAACCAACTACTTGGTAGATACTGCAATAGATGCTGGCATTAGAAAATTAGAACCAATGCAAATGACTAAAATATGATTTATAGAAAATTTCCAAAGCATAAAAAGGTATAGTAGGAATTTTTTAAGGAGTTAGTAAAACTGGTTACAATTCAAAGGATAGACATTTTGGAATGAAACGTACAGGAGTCAGACATTATAAGGGAAGGATTTGGGGGCCAAGGGAGAGGACAAGATGTGCAAGAACTGAAGCATACAAAGTTATGAATTATTTTGTATGGTGCATCTAACTCAATACAGTTGAGGCATAAAAATGAAAGAGGCCATGAGAGAACAGTCAGGGAAATGGAATGCTGTATTCTAAGCAAAATAATGAGATTGTCTCCTACAGATCATCTTTGAAGAAGTTTCAGGACAAGAGTGGCCTTATCAGATCCACATATTTTAGTGAGATTATTCTGGTACCAGAATTCAAGGGTCCAAGTGAGAGTGAGAGAAATGGTAAAAAGTACTCTCACAATAAACCCCACGAGAAGAAACGAAGACTGGTATTAGGCATCGAGTTGGGCTGGGTCGGTTATATCCACTGGCTGTGTTAAAAACAGAGTGTTTGGGACTCAATGGGTTGGTAAAAAATTTCAATGCCTTTTCATTGGATTTGGAGACACATTTTGAGATGTAGTGATGCCCATGGGAATGGAGAAGCTATGCAAAGAAATAGGCAAAACACTTTCACGGTACAAAGGAGGCAACAGGTCCTGGTGCGTGACTACAGCCGCTCAGACCGCGGCCTCGACGAGTCATCCGCGGGTATTTCCCTCCCGCGGACACAAAGATGGCGCCGGCGGCAGACATGAGCGCGCGGCTGAGGGGACGGGGCTTGGGGGGGGGGCGGGGGGCGGTTGCTGGGTGTTGAGAAAAGACAGCGATTTTCTGTTTGTTGCTCTGCTTTAAACACACACAGAGAGAACTCAGCGCCGGACGAATTGCGGCTAACTTTCTTTTGCCTTCAGATGTGGTCTCCAGTACAACTAACTCTTCGGGGGCCATGCTTAAAAGGATGTTTCATTTTGTAGGCACGCGATGGCGGGGCCGGAGAACCTGTATCTTTGCTTCCTTCATGTTTCCTAGCCCAGGCGGGTCCCACAACAGCCCCCCGCCTGGCTCTGACCCTCCAGTTCCCCCCCCCACCCCGACCCCAGTGCTGGCTGCCGCTGTGACACACAAATTGCCTTTTTCGCGGGTGCCTGCAGTGGGGGGCTCACGCTTCGATGAGCGGCAGCCTATTCCCGGGGTCCCCACCCTCCTCGACCACCATGGGCCTCGCGCTTTCCGCGCGGGCTCGAGGAGCCGGGCGCGTGGCCCCGGAGCGCGTGCCCGGCCGCCGGCCGCGAGCCCGCGGCGGGAGCGCGCGCACCGCAGCCCTCGGGGCGGGGGCGGGCGGGGCGGGGCGGGACCGCGGGGAGGCGCCGGGACTGGGCCTCGGGCCAGGTCGGGAGCGCGGCCGCCTCGGTTGTCATGGGAACCGCGGCGTAGGCAGGCGCTGACGTCACGGGCTGTGCGCGACCGGCGCTGCGGCCCCGGCTGTCTCCAGCAGCCTGGGTCGCTGGGGGCTGGCGTGGCAGCTCGGCCGACTCCCTCCCTGCCGGGCCCGATCGGCCGCGGCAGCCGCGTGGACCCACCCGGGGCCGGCCGCGGAGGGACGGGCCGGAGGCTGCTCTGCGCGCTTCTCTCCGTGAGTCGTGTGGAGGCGCTCTCGGGCGGGAGCCCGGGCGGGGGCGGTCGGCCAGCCCTGGTCCTCGGGGGGTTCGGGGACTAGGGGGGCTCTTGGATCGGAGGGAGTGGGGGCCGCAGGGCGCCCCGGCCGAGCTCCCCCGAGGGCGGGGATGTGATTTTTGAGCGGTGCCTTTGCGTACTTTTCCGCTCCTCGCTGTGGCTTCTGGTCTCCAGTGTTTGGCCTGGTGTCCTGAAAAGTGAAGGCAATCTCTGCCGTCCCTGCTCCAGATTCTGCTTTAAACTCTTTAAATCAGTTGCGTCCTAAGTGCTCTTATTCCCTTGTAGGCTGTCAACCTGGTGCTGAATCTTGAACCTGTGAAATGCCTTCTTAATACATTCGAGAAAAGGTGATCGATGTGTTAACGTTTGTAAGAACAGTTACATTAATAAGAAGAGTTCCGTAGGTATAAAAACAGGAGAAAATGTATGCCATGTAAGAATCCTTATCAAATGGTTGTGTGCGTTTCAGCATTATTGTGAAAACATTTACTTACTGATGAGTTTGGCTTTTCCTTTATTGGGTCAGGGATGATAACTTGTCTGTCACCTGTTGCATTAGCTATTGCTGTTACTTCTTTGCCTTTCAGAAAGAAGATAGCTTAAGTGGACTTAGAGAAATGGTTACAAACAACATTTGAAAGCAATTTAAATGCCTTTTAAAACTATATTTAGACTATTGTTTATTTAGACTCTTGCTTATTTAGTGATTAAATTATGTATGCAGGGTTTTTTTTTCGTTTCCCCCCTGCTGTAAAATTTGACTAAGGAGTGAGTGAATTGTCCTGGCCTCTGATTTTTCTCCCTTTGGCCTTCAGGCATATACTGACTGGTAGTCAAGGGATCAGGGAAAAAGTAAAATGAGGTGAAATGTTATGTAGTTAATTTTCCTCTTAGCAGCTCCTGTAAAGGGGTTTGCAAGGGAGACGCTTTAAAATAATGGCATATAAGGGTCAGGGTTGTCATTTTAAGTCTAACCGTAATTTTTGCTAATGATAGTACTCATCAAATATTTGTCATTCATTTGTTGATGTATTTGCTGTAGTACTCTTTTTTTTAATTTTTTTAAAAAAAGATTTATTTATTTATACAAGCACTGGGTACATTGAGAAGCACGGGAGGGTGAGAGAATCCACCAGAGCCAGAGCGGAGAGCAGAACAGGCAGGCAGACAAAATACACTGCTGAGGGGAGCAGCGGGCATGGCAGGAGAGGTCTGCGCGCCATGTGGGACCCTTGGGGATTAACTGGCGCTGCAGAGGCTGCGGGCAGCTTCGCAGCCCAGCGCTCAACCGCTGTGCCACCGGGGAGGCCGTGTAGTATACTCTTTAACATCTACACATGCTTATTTCTGTAATGTACTTGCTGTGTTATCATGAAGTGATATTAACACATTAATTGTGCATTAAATTAGGTACTATTAAATTACTAAAATTTGTGCATTAACTATTAAACTTTAAATTACTAAAGTAAATATTGTGAATGTGTAGTTTACCTAATCATGTGCTTTTAATGTTATAATAATTGACATAGGTAACTTACCAAACACCTGAAACACTTTTAAAAATGTATTTATGTACCAAGTTAGATTTGTTTCCTTTAAAAAAGTTAGTTGTTTCACATATGTATTATATTCAAATATGTTCCTATGTGCTCTACCTTATTTTGTATCTAAACTGGTTCACATGTATTCAAGTCATTTGCACAAGATTGGAGTAAGGGATCTTTATTGACATAAAGATGATGTAATGGACAATGATAAATTCTTGCATGAAGAATACTTTATCATTTCTATTTGGAAGTTACCTATTATAAATTCTCTTTGTTTTGACAGGATCCTGGTTGAGTCATTGCTTTACATTATAACTTAATGCTTTTCATAAACCTAAGCTATGCCCACTGGTAAGACTTTTGAGAAATTTCTTCATATAAAGTATTTTTTATTTAAAGTCTGGGTTATTTTAAGGGGCTCTTGAACCAATTAATTAATGTAACAGATACCACTGACTAAACAATACATCTAGAGATATTTAATAATTTGGTATTCAATTTTCTATTTGATATTGGTGACTATTGTTAGTATGTATTCAGCAGATAGCAGTTTGGTAAATAATAATTGCAGCATATGTTTAGTTTGTAGACCATCATCAGAATGGATGCTTAATTCTAGAGAAAGTGTCAGTAGCTTCTTCCTAAAGGGCAAACTTTAGGTAATAGTTTAGATTTGGTCTCGCTACACATACTAAATTCTGCCTTGGAAGCATGAAAGTAGCCATAACAATTCTTAAATGAATTGGGCATGTTTTTCTTTGAATAAAACTTTCAGTAAATAGGTGACTGACTTGCATTTTGTCAATACCTGCCCTGGGGCATTCATTCATTCATTCATTCATTCAGCATTTATTTATTTAAATGTTTATTGAGGACTTAATCAGTGCTAGATTTATGATAGTAGATAGTTATGAACTATACAGAATAGGAGGAGACACAGTTTATTTGCAGAGTCACAATTGCAATTTCAACTGTAGTGCTTAAAAGGAAAGAACAGTCTTCTATGTGGGAACCAGGGAAATTTAGATGAGGTTTACAGGAAGTTTAGAAGCAGTATATAACAGGCAGCTTAACACCAGCAAGGTAAGGAGTTAGAGGAATTTTGTGCCAGCTAAAAATGCTTTCACTGGGAAAGGATTTTGTCTTGATTTGAATCTAGGGAATTAGGCAGGCACAGCAAGATCTCCATAGAACCTGCAAAGAACTTGTTTGATTTGTACTAAGTGAAATGGGAAACTTGTAGAGTCTTAAGTAAGGGAATGACATGATCTGATTTATGTTTTAAAGAGAAAAAAAAACTTGCAATCATTAATATTTACTCAATGTCCATAATTGTGTGAGCAAGTATTGGCATTTTTTGTGCAGGATGATCTTTGACATAGAACTATTGTATTTTTACAGATAATGAAGATCAAATTTAGAGATGTAAAATAACTTGTTTAAGACCACATAATTAACAGTGGGTGAAGCTAATGTTCATCATAAATAAAAAGTTATCTTAGCAAGGGAATTTTTAAGAAAGGAGGCCAAAAAGTAAGAGAGGTACAGGTGATGAGTCGCTAAATTTAAAAGCAAAGTTTTTTTTTTTTTTTTAATTTTCTGTGTTTTTTGTTTTTTTTTTTAAAGATTTATTTATTTATTTATACAAGCACTGGGCACAGTCGGAGGCACGGGAGGGTGAGAGAATTCACCAGAGCCAGAGGGGAGAGCAGAGCAGGCAGACTGATGAAGTATACTGCTGAGGGGAGCAGCGGGCATGGCAGGAGAGGTCTGCGCGCCATGTGGGACCCTTGCCTGGCAGCTGGGGATCAAACCGGCACTGTAGAGGCTGCGGGCAGCTTCCTAACCCAGCGCCCAACCGCTGCGCCACTGGGGAGGCCCTCAAAAGCAAAGTTTTTAAACAAAGGATTGGTAAATTGTTCAAGTGCAGCTGGAAAACTCATGCAAGTGTTTATAAGACTGTTAATAATGCAGATGTGTGTATAATAGAGTTGTATAGAAAATGACATGAGTCTTTATCATTTATAGTTGAGAGTGAAGCCAAACTGAAAACCAAAGTTCGCTTTGAAGAATTACTTAAAACCCACAATGACCTCATACGTGAAAAAAAAAAGCTGAAGAAAAAAATTGTTAAATCTGGAGAAAAAATATCTGTGAGTAATTGATAATTTATAATGGGAACATAAAATTGTCTGCATTAAATTGTGGCTTTCATACTAAAACTCTAAGGAACCTTGCATATTAATATCAGGAAATTTATGTCATGGTCAATCAAACATCATAAAACTAGCATTAGTCAGCATCACTTTTGGAATATTGAGTTTAGTCTCGAGTACTGAGTAACAGACAAACAGTCAAGAGTGTCTACAGGTAAGGGGAAACTCAAAACTAGTCTTATTACACATTTTTAAAGAAAATCAATATTCTTAACGCAGAATTGAGTTGCGAACTTAGGAGGCAATATCTTATTCCAGATAGATATTCAGTGGCTTATCTTTATTTGGACTTATTCTTGTGACGCTGCCCAGAATCTGGAGAAATCAGTGGAACCTTAAGGTAATAATTTGCCTTTTGTACTTGAGGTATGCTTTTAATTGAGAGAACTTTTGAACACATATATAAACTTTTGATCACTGAAAATACAGAACTCAGGCTATACTAAGCAATCAACAATTGACTACAACCTAATTGCTGGAGTTTTATAGAGTCTTTAGTAGCATCCATAGTTAATGCATTGTTCATTCTTCAAAAGTACCTCAGTATTTCAGTTGCACCTTTATTTCCTATGATCCTCATCTCTTGTGTTCTTGTACAAGCACACATAACTCTTGTATATTCTGATGATTGATCATAGTGGTTCTTGACAGTGTTTTATGATGAATTGTATACATCTTAAATTGTGCATCTAGAATTTTTACCCCATTCTGTGTTCTATAAAGTGACCTGTTCATTTTAATTTTTTTTTCTAGGAGCTATCAATGTAGTAATATATATTCTAAATGGAGACAAAAATAAGTTCTAACATTGGTCAGAATTTAGCTGCACACTTTGTGAGAGGTACACAGTACACCATTGTAGTACCTCACCCCAGTTTAGGACTACTGATACAGTTGGGCCAATTCGTATGCCTGTATTACCCTAGACAGATGAGCTGTTTCTGGTGGCTCTCTCTTGCAGTGCAGTAGGGTCAGTGCAAGTGGAGGATGAAACATTGCACATTGGTATATGCCTTTCTGTCAGAAGAGGTGGTCTATGTTGGGCAAAAGCAAAAAGAACGTTGGAAGCAATTATATGCAGGTATTTTATGAACTTGTTCAAAGGAAAAACTCATTTTTTCTCACAGTTTTAAAACTAAGATTAGTGAGAGTGAATAAAATGCAGTAAATAACCCAGGAGTGCTAAATGAAATGGATAACCATGAAATGGGGAGAAGTTATGTACAATTCCATAAGGTCCAGTTTGTATATTGGGACACATAAATGTGTCACAAAAATGAGGTCACTTAGCATAATCTTTTCAAACTCTTGGCAAATACCATTCCACTCAAGGTTTCTTTTCATTCAGAGATTATGCATACACTAAGAAAAAAAGTAGGAAGAAACTTTTCAGTTTAAAAGAAGAGGAGTATTTCTGGAGCATTTAGATACAAAAAAACTTCTTTGAAATGCTTTAGGAAATAGAGAAGAAATACCTGCTTTCATTTATTAGATAACTGAGTGCTTTCTTTCAAACATTCTTGTAAACATTTTATATATGCACTCATTTTTAATACAGACAGCAAAAGTTATGAGACATAATCTCTATTTATTATAAATGAGAAAACTGAGGAAAGTTTAAGTAACTTGCCCAAAGTTGCATGGTGGTGGAACCAAGACACAAACTTTAGCAATCTTACTGCATAATGCCCTCTCTTAGCCACAGCCCAACAGGACCTCTTCTAATAAGATATGAAGAGATCATATCTCTTCAGAACAAGAACAGGGGGTGCTATGTACAGAATAGGCTGAGGTTGAATAAAGAGGAGACTGAGATAAGGAAATGGAGCTTGGAAAAAGCCATAAGAAGAAAGTGTATAATAATGGCAATTTCAAACTACTGTTTTCCAATTGTATGTTATCACTGTGATAAGTCACAAAGTTAATATTTTTACCAATAGCTAAAATTAATTGCTAATTTTTATTGGACATAAATATTTTTGAGTCAGATGGAACGTCTTTGAGTTTTACAATTATTATCCTAGGGATAGCCTTATGAATAAGTTCGGGATAACATTATTGAGTAATTTCTGTCATTGCATGTGAAGAAATAGTATAAATAAAGGCCATAAACATTAGGATGCATAATCACTAAATGAGCAAAAGGCATGAAAAATAAAACCAATCACACGAGAAAATAACAATGACTGATAAAATATAGAAACACTTTAAAAGAGATTCAGATTGGAACACAGAAGTGATACTTTTGTTTACCAGGTAGATATTTGAATATTGTTTAGTTGTAGGATAGAGAGCAGGCTTTTCAATACAATGCTAGTAGAAGGGTGAAATAGTAAAGCAAATATAGACAACTCTTTCAGGGATTTTGGTTGTGAAAAGGAGTATTATCAAGATGATATTGATTGAATTCAAGCGTTTAAATGCTTGGTATTTAAACACTGGTAACAGACTAGATAGTGGGGAGATTGATGATCTGGGGAGAGGAGAGTTTTCTAGAACGCAAGTAGAAAAGACCCACTGTTCATTATGAAGAGAAGGAAGATCATTTTGGGTGCATGGAAACTTGTAGACTTGATAGCAGAAAGTTCCAACTTTCCATGTGAGAACTTATATCTGTGAGAATAGGCAGGAAATGACATTAGATGTTACAGGTGAGTAAAGAAAATTTGAAATGTAGCCAGTGTGAAGAAGGTAAGAGAGTACAAATGAGCACAATATGCACAGAAGAGAATCACCTACTTGATTTGAAATCTCGGTAGAGTTTGTAAACCAGATAATTGAGACAGCACCAGCTTTTGAAGTGGTGTTGTTTTTCACCAGTTTTCAACATCTTGGTTATAGTTATGGAGATGAAGATCACTTAATTTGAACAGTGCTGGAGTTTTGATAAGTTTATTGAGTTTTTGGCAGATAAATGTGATGAATGGAAAGTACGTAATAATGGCAAGTGAAGACTGAAGTGATGGAGTGTGAAATCAAAGTATCAGGAACTGTGTTTAAGAGAAGCATGAAAAATAAGAATGTATTGGGTTTTGAGCATAATGAACTATTTGATACCATTAAGTCTGGAGTGGCTTGATACTCAGCAGTAGTAAGAATAAATGCTTACAAGTGCTAAGAAGAGAGGAAACAATTAGGTTTTAGCTGTTACTAATTTTGAAGTTGCATCTGAATATTTGCTTTTTAAAGGTAGACGTTTAAATCATGTTTTGTTCATTATCATCTGACTATTTTATTTCATTTTGATTTTACTCCATGATTTTGTGTCTCATTTTATCCTTATAACTCTTGTGATGGTGTTATCTTTTATGAATGATAGTGTCTAGAATTTTTTTGTTTTGTATATCAAATTTATTTTAAAATGTGGAAAGTCTTCTAGATTCTCTAGCTTTAGTTAACTTAGGTATTCATTCACTTCTATAAATGCTGACTTGTAATTAAAGTTGAATTATCTCGGCTCTGTTAGAACAAGTTTAAGACCCTGGTTGTCTTGGGATGAGTAAATAAAGAACTTTTTAGTGGATCAGACTTATTAAAAGTGAGTTAACTGTTGTGAGAGAAAAGCCCAGTAGTATTTAAAAGAGTCCCAACAAAATCTAGGCAATGATGTAAAATTTCTGGCATCTGATCAAATATTACCAGGGATTTAAGAAAAGGAAACTGAAATGACCCATAATCAAAGGAGAAAAAGTTCTAGAAAAGTAATAGGAGATTAAAAACAGATCTAATGATTGAAATAATATAGTACTTGAAATTATAAATAGACTAAAGGAGATTATCATCATATTGGGCACTGCAGAATAAAAAAAACTTGAAGAAATAACATAAATGATCTGAATTGAGTAGCCTATGCTGAGTGACAAGAGCTATTGATTAAATATTAGGCAACTTTGTAAATTGATTGTTAAGGTATTGGTAGCTTAAAATTGTTCATACTTAAGTCATGGAGATCATCAGCCCTAGACATGAGGACTTTTTTCATTATGCTCTACCCTGTCTGGAGCATTTGTTTATCAGCATGCCACTGAAACTCTGGGGGTGGAAAGTAGTGGAACAGAACATCGGTGACCTGTAGGACCGTCTTGAGCATTTTAACTTATTTATACACGTGTACTTGGAGTTTGAGCAAGAGGTAGAGACAGAAAATGTAGTTGAAGAAGTGATAAAATGTTTTTGGATTTTACAAAAACCCACAGGTCCAAGAACTCAAAAATAAAGAGAAAAAAAGGTGAATAAAATTATACCAAGATATTTCATACTTAAATTGCTGAAAGCCAGGAATAAAATGTAAATCTTAAAAGCAGCCCGAGAAAATAAAGACATTTTATACAGAACAGAAAATGTCAAAACTATTTCAACTAAAAGACATTGGGCCAAAATATTAAAAGAAAAAATTGTCCACCTAGAATTCTACATCCAGAAGATAAGTCTCTCAAAAATGAAGGTGAAATAAGTTTTTTGATGTGAACAAAATCTCAGAGAACTCATTATTCGTAGGCTTGCAGTGTAAGAAAGTTTTTTTTTTTTTAAAGTAAAATAATTCCCAGTGGAAATTTGAATTTACAAAAACGAGAGAAGTACATAGCAAATAGTAACTGTGATATAGGAGGGTTTTCCTCATTTAAAAAATTCTCTTTATAATTTAACTTTTTAAAAATTTAATTTTTAATTGAGGTAATATTTGGATACCTCTGTCAGGTGTTACCACCATAGTGCAGTCACTACCAAATCATCCATAGTGTACCACCATAGTCCATTGTGCTTCCTCCCCTCTTTATTACTTCTTCTCAGTCCCTCCTCCCCTGGTGTTTCAGTTCTTTAGTCAGTTCTCAAGGGGTTGAAAAGCGAGAATGATAACAATGGTTACTGAAGGATTTATAATATATGTAGAAGTCTGACACTATAACACAAAGTGTAGGAGAAAATAAATAAAAATACACTTTTGTAAACTCTTTAAAATATAAGTAAAGTGGCATTATTTGGTGATAGGTGGTGATAAGTTAAAGGAATATACTGTAAAACTTAGAGCAATTACTATAAAAAAGTTGAAAGCTAAAAAACCAGTGCCACAATAAAATATGGGAAAAGCAGAAAAAGGAAAGAACAGATTGGACAAATAGAAAGCAAGCAACACAGTGGTATAGCAGAACCTAGCTATATCAAGAATCACTTTAAATATAAATGCTCCTACAAATCCATTAGAAGGTGGAGATTATCAGATCACTAAATAAACTATTGGAAACCCACTTGAAATATATGACACAGGTGATTTTTTTTAATTAAAAATATCCCTCATTTTAAATAATTTCAATTGGGAATCAAAGGTAAGGTGTGTGCTTAGTCTGTCATTTGATTTAACTTGATAGTATTTAATGCCATTTTTAGTGATACATGTAGACTAATTAATTGCAGGGTAATCCTCAGGCTATGTATAGACTTTTGGTTTTGGAAATTATTTTAAAGCAAGATAAATAATGAGTATATTTTTTATTAGGGAAATAAATGTTTTATACTCAGTGGCTCTGTTACCAGTTTGTCAGATATTTCTTAATCAGAGTGTAGATCATTCTGCCAAAGGAAAGTAGCATTTCAGATTAAATTACTACTTAATTTACTCATTTAATCTGAATTTACTGCCAGAAATTGCTAATGTAATGCTGGGAGAATGAAGTGGGAAAGTATTCTTTGGATGCTCTAGAATCACTGTGTTCAAGTAAGAAATGTGATAATCTTCCCAGTATGACACTAATTGGTATGCTCTTTATAACCAAACTCTGCTTAGCTGAAACTATCATTGTGTTTTCTATCTAGCTTGACACTGTAAGAAGCAATCTTCAGAATATTAGAGAAATTGAAAGTGATGAAGTAAGTGCTACTAGCACTAATAATCCAAAGAACATGGGGGTCACTAAAAACAAATCCAGGAATCTGCAGTCAACAACTGAAAATGCAGATGATGATGGTAGTGTAGAGGAAGACAAGCAGGAAATGGAGCACAGGAAGGTTATCAAAACAGCGCGCCAGGTGACTGCACAGGAGATGGACCTAGAGGCTCCTGAGAAGAAGCTGGGTTCCACTCCTCAGAAAGCACAAAAAAAGGCACCACCAACGGTTGTTCATCAGAAAATTGAGAAGGCAGATGAAGAAAGAGAACATCAAAATTTAGATGAAGAAGAAGATGAACTAATGCAAATGTACCAGGTCCAAGTGGCTGAAGAAATGGCAAAGGAGATTAAGATGAAAATAAGGAAGAAACTCAAAGAGCAGTTGACTTTCTTACCTTCAGATACTTCATTGCATGATGACAAACTGAGCAGTGAAAAAAAGAAAAAGAAAAAAAAGAAAGTTCCAGTCCTATCTAAAGATGAAACAAGGTACTTCATATTGATAAATATGCAGTGCCCTCTTAAAAAAAACATTTATTTTCAGCTTTTGAGTGATACTGGGAGTTTGACAGAAAATTCTTAGCCTTTCATTTGTTCACATTGCCAGTACAATAACAACAGCTAACTTTTATGTAGAAACTTACTATGTGTTAAATGCTATATGAGTGTTAACTCATTTAATCCTTATGATAACTCTTTGAGATATGTTATCTTCTTTCGCAGATGAGGAAACACAAGGATTTAAGTTACAGATCAACTAGGAAGCCGAGCCAAAACCTTGGCTTTCTTGCTCCAGAATTTCTACCCTTAACTACCCACTTATACCTGCTTTTTAAATAATATAAACTTAATTACATCCCTTTTTTTGAGTCACAAATGCCTTTTTGGATATCTGAGTATACTTTTGTTTCCTTATTATAGAAATATATTCACTCATTTTAGACCATACAGACACAAAGGAGAAAACATTAACAATCTACTAATCCATAGTCCACAGTTTTGTGTTCTTCTAGCCTTTTTCCCACATATGTTACTTAGACATATATGCTTGCATATAAAAGATGAACTTTGGTTATTATATTTTTATGTCTGCCCTAGGGAAATGAGAATGTCTTAGCTACCATAATTAGCTTTTTCTGCATTCCACATTTAAATAAACAACTTGAGGCAATGAACATTTTGTATTTGATATTCCCAGTTCAGGGATAATTTTATCTAATGTCCTCATATGAAAATAATTCCCTTCTTATCAAAGGCTAAACAACTCATGGTAACAAAGAGAGGCCAAATAGAGTTGCTGCAGGGCCATGTTAATATATTTTTTGGTTATCTATTGCTATACTTAAAAATTATCACTGAACTTAAAAGCTTAGAACTACACAAACTTGTTCAGTTTCTGTGGATCATGAGTCTGGGTATGTTTTAACTGAGTGCTTCTGAATCAGGATCTCTCATAGGCTTCAAGCAGGATGTCATGTGATCTGGCTGGGAGGGGTGGGGATTTGCCAGGTAATGAAGCCTTGGAAGATTTGGCTGATCCACTTTTATGCACACTCGTGGCCTTTGGCACATCTGACTAATTTTTGCCCAGAGACATCAGTTCTTTGCCACATGGACTGGCACCTGGCTTTTGACTTCCTCAGAGTTAGGGCTCCAAGAGAGAGCAAGACCAAAGTCATTGTCTTTTTAGAACCCAATGTTAGAAGTGGCTTTCATTATTTTTGTCATATTCTGTCTTTTAGAAATTAATCACTAGGTACAGTCTATAGTTAGGGGAAGGATTCCATGAAGATAATAAATGTCACCAGAGCCCACACAATTCTTTAAATCCTCTTCTAATGGTTGCTTATCTGTCTATATGAACTAGTAAGTTATATCCACTATTAAATAAGGTTAGTTCATGAATTTTGACTAAAACCATGTCATCTGTGTGACAGTGACATGCACAATGTTAATATTTGGTAATGTAATAAAATGGCATGGGTTTCATAAATTACTAATTTGAAATAATGATATTTTTCAACCTCTGTGTATATGACTATATTAGGAGTCAATTTTTTATTATTTAAATACAGATTGATAAATTACAAATAAACAGGGACTGTTTATACAACTCATATTTCTTTCTTTTTTTTTAAATAATAAATTTTATTTTTATATTCCCCCATACAATTGCAAATGCCCCATTCTGACCCCAATCCCTCCCCTCCCACCCCCCACCCCCAAAAAGTGTCTCTGGTTCATAGTTTTTTGTTGATTTTGATTTTCACTTTCTTATAGTTATTCATTTTCCTGGTCCCTTATTTAAGTTTTCTAGATTCCTGCTATGAGTGAGACCATCCGGTATTTTTCTTTTTCTTTTTGGCTTATTTCGCTGAGCATGATCCCTTCCAGCGCCATCCATGTTGCTGCAAATTGCATGTGTTTATCTTTTTTGAATGCTGAGTAATATTCCATGGTATATATGTACCACATCTTCTTGATCCAGTCATCTATTTTTGGGCATTTGGGCTGTTTCCAAAGCTTAGCTATTGTAAATAGTGCTGCTATAAACATAGGGGTGCAGGTGCTCTTTGGAATTGATGTTTCTGTGTCCTTTGGGTAAATACCTAGGAGTGGAATTGCTGGATCATATGGAAGCTCTATGTTTAGTAGGTCCAGAAATCTCCACACATCTCTCCATAGTGGTTGGACCAGTTTGCACTCCCACCAACAGTGTAAAAGAGTTCCTTTTTCTCCACAACCTCGCCAACATTTGTTGTTGCTAGTTTTTTTTTTTTTTTTTTTTAACAATTTTTTTTTTAAAGATTTATTTATTTATTTATACAAGCACTGGGTACAGTCAGAAGCATAGGAGGGTGAGAGAATTCACCAGAGCCAGAGCGGGGAGCAGAGCAGGCAGAAGGACCGAAGTACACTGCTGAGGGGAGCAGCGGGCGGCAGGAGAGTTCTGCGCACCATGTGGGACCCTCCTCCGGTGGCCGGGAAGCAGCCAGGGATCGAACTGGCGCTGCAGAGGCTGCGGGCAGCTTCACAACCCAGCGCTCAACGGCTGCGCCACCGGGGAGGCCCCGTTGCTAGTTTTTTTAATATGTGCCATTCTCACTGGTGTAAGATGGTATCTCATGGTAGTTTTGATTTGCATTTCCCTGATTACAAGTGATGTTGAACATTTTTTCATATGTCTGTTGACCATTTGCATTTCCTCTTCAGAGAAGTTTCTTTTTAGCTCTTCTGCCCATTTTTTGACTGGGTTATTTTCTTTGTTGTTGCTGAGTCTCATCAGCTCTTTGCAGATTTTTGTGATCAGTCCTTTATCATTAGTGTTGTGTGCAAAAATGTTCTCCCAGTTGGTGGGGTTTCTCTTTGTTTTTGTTATTGTCTCTTTTGCTGTGCAGAAGCTCTTTAATTTGATGTAGTCCCAGCTGTTTATCTTTGCCTTCACTATCACTGCTTTGGGTGATGTGTCTGTAAAGATGTCTTTGATATGCAAATCACGTAGTTACAACTCATATTTTTGAACTGCTACAGTTATCAGCTCATGTGATACCGATTTTAATTTTCTTAATTTAAGAAATTTTCTTAAATCTTTATGAAAGGATGTAGTGGCACAGCACATTGGAAAACATAAGCAATTCATTTTTACCTAGAAATCAAAAATTGAATATCTGAAAACATCCTTTTTGTTTTTGAATAAATTTAGAAATGTATTAATCATTTACTTGGAAGTAGAATGAGGATGCTTTGATCACTATTATTTAAAAGCAGATTCACTGCTCATAAATTGCAATTTTAATTTTTGCTGACATTTCCAGCTCAATTTAATTTAGCTCATAGGATATGTATATATAACCTATCACTGTGTATAAAAAATATCCATAATACTAAGTTTAGCAGGTAACCATTTGACAGGTAACATAAGAAAATAAATTTTTTAGAAAGAGATAATGCTGATTTTAGATGGTCCTTTCCTTTATTAACTGTTCCCTTTGTTTTACCACGAATGATAATAATAATTTATTTGTGCTGGTTTGTACTTTGTGGTTGTATTTTTAGTACATTGACCAAGTCTGATGACACAGTTGAAAATGAGCAAAAAAAGGAGTCTGCACCCGGAATTGTTATTTCTGATTCTCATCAAAATGATGAAATAAATTCAATGTTACAAAATGTAGAAGATAGCATCAAAGAAGACACAAAATCCAAACCCCCCAAGAAGAAAAAGAAGGCCAAAGCAGGTTTGTTATCCAAATTAAATGAAATCTGTGCCTTGGTAGAAAAAAACTTTATTCTAAGACTTTTTATCCTTAATGAATCTAACTGAAAAAAATCCAGTATAGAATATTTGATATTCTTGAATTCATCTGGATTAAAATATTCATTTAGTTATAACTCTGGGTCTCTGTAATGAGCTAGTATTATTTGAGTTATCTCTAATTCTTGACTTATTTTAATTTAGCTCTAGAATGATGTTTACTTTGTGGTTGATATTGTGACATAGAAGATTTCTTCTTTATACAATTGTTTAGATTCCCCTAAATAATTAATTCATAGTTATTGAAAGCTATAAATGGTCAGCAGCCAATAAACATTTCAGAACTTAAGCCTGTATCCCTGTGTCCATCATGGAATTTTCCTAATTCCTCAGCTAATTTAGCTTCTGTCCTGTCCCCACTTTTTCTTTTACCCTCTTGTTTTTGCTCTACCGCTACACTCTTTTCTATTATCTTTTCTTAATAATCCTGCCTTTTTAAAACCTCTTCCATTTTTTTCTTCTCAATTGCCATTTATTTGGCCAAAAATTGGTACTGAAATAGACAATTTTGGAATTTATGGTACCTATTCATTGAATGATGTAATCGGTAATTTCTTCATTTTTAAATTTGCTCAAGTCTTCTATATATCATTTTAAGAAATGGAATTATCTTTTTATATTTATATAATGTGTGAGAATATTTTATATATCTGAATATCCATTTTTTTCCTCAGTTATAAATAAACACACATAGGGCAATTATGATATCATGACAGTCTGGGTTTTATTTATTCTTTGCTGTCTTTTGATCAACGGAATTTTAAAGTAAAATTCCAATTTATCTTTTTTTTTTGCTTCGATCATGTGTTCTTTCTGTGATATAAGAAATCTTTCCAAAGTCCTAAAGATGTGTTTCAATGAAATATTTTCTAATAATTTATAATTAATTTATAATGGTGAGTGGTGGTTGTCAAGAACCATTCTTTCTCATGTGAATATATAATTCACCTAGTACAGTTTACTGAAGAGAGCCTCTTTTTACTGTTTTGTGGTGTCTCTTTTATCATAAATGACATGACCTTGTAAATGGATCCATTTCTGTAGTCCATTCTATTACATTAGTCCACATCATCACCATCCTGTGTTAATTACTGTAGTTTTATAACAGGTCTTACTATTTTGGAGTGTAAGTGCTCAGCTTTTTCCCTCTACTTCAACATTGCCTGTGCCATTATTTTCTCCTTGCATTTCTATATGAATTTTAGAAGCAGCTTCACAGTTCTCCCTCCTCCTTACCCTTTTACACCCCTCATGATTTTTTGTGCATGTTGGGTCAATCTAAAGAGAGTCACAATTTAACAATTCTCTAAGTAGTCTTAATATCTTTACAAAGTATTGATTCTTACCATACATGAAATTGGCATTTACTTATTCAGTTTACCTTGAAAATATTGTAAACTTCAGTAAAGTTTCTTCTTGTATTTATTTGTAGGTAGTTGGTGTTTCTTAAGGCTATTTTAAAAGATAATGATTTTAAAAATTTTGTTTTCTGTTTGTTTCTGGTATACATATATAGAAATGTTAATTTGTTTTTAAAAGGTTAACATTGTGTCAGTGTTCTTGCTAAATTCATTTTATTTCTAAGACTTTATCCATAGATTATTTTGAATTTTCCACATGTATAGCCCTATCATCTGTGAAGAATAATTTTATTGCTTCTTTTTCAGTCTGTACATCTTAAGTCCTTTCTCTTGTCTTGATACACTAGTAAGGACTCCCATTACAATTTTAAATACAAATAGAATAACATGTACTCTTCTCTTGTTACCAGTCCTGTGGGAAGCTTTCATTTTGTCATTTTTGAATATGATGTTTGCTAGAGATTTTTTTTGTAAATAATCTCTAATAGACAATGACTTATATTTTTAATTGGGAGACCATTTTTTTATCATGAGTAGCTTTTAAATTTTATCAGATGTTTTTTCTGCATCTATTAACATGATCAGATAAGTTTCACCCTTTGTTCAATTAATATGGTTTTATTAGGACAGGCATTAAACCATCTTTGTGTTCTTGACAGAAGTAGGAGTGCCCACTTGGTTGTGATGTATTATCTTTCACTTTTATCTCCTATTAGATTTGACTTGTTGATAGTTCATTTGGGGTTTTTATATCTGTGATGAGGAAAGTGATTATTACTTTAACCTTCTTGAAATACTGTTTTTGAAAAGTGGCTTATGGTGTAAATTAACCATTTAATTTATAGGGCTTCATCTTTACCTGATTTGTTTCAGGCCACTACCTGTGGTCATTGATGGGGAAATAAATATTCTTCACCCCAGTTTAATACTTTAATAAACACAATATTTTACTCTTAGAGTTTAGTGTGCTTTTTTCCCCTGGCTCTTTCTTCCCCCTTTTAAGTTCCGTTGTTTAATTGTTGTAGGAACAATTAATTATTACCTGTTATAATTGTAACAACTTTTGTTATATGCCTATAGTTTCAGGTGATAATGAAGACACTGATGGTGATGGTGTTCATGAAATAACAAGCCAGGACAGTCCACTTTATCCCAAACGTTTGCTTGATGATGACCTTGTCCTGGGAGTTTACATTCACCGAACTGATAGACTTAAGTCAGATTTTTTGATTTCTCACCCAATGGTAAAAATTCATGTGGTTGATGAGAATACTGGTCAATATGTCAAGAAAGATGATAGGTAATGTTTTAAGTTGAAATTAAAACTGTCTACAGAAGTCATTTTCTGCTACTGAAAGTTAAATGGAATACACTTATGGATATGTATTAGAGAATAGTCTACTAATTGTATGTGTTCATCAAACATTGATAGTGATGAATATAATTTATAGTAGAAATGGAAAACATCTGTTAATTAATGGAGTCTTGAAAGTACAGGGAAGTTGAGGAAGCTTCTACAAGTTAAATGACCAACTTACAGCATTTAACTTGATTGTAAATTATCTTATTTTGCTCTATGCTCTATTGTCTGGTTTCATATTTTCCTTATGAAATTAATGTTACTTGGGCTACAGGTGAGAAAAATGAATCTTCAATTTAATTTTTTTCTAATACTGTTCTGTAGCTAACAAGTTGGAAGGTCCAAATAAAAAAGTACAATAAAATAGATTGTTGTGCTAGAATGAATGCATATATGTGTATATATACACACACATACATATTTACTTGAAAAGTTGGAGGAATAGTTATGAAGATTATCAAAAAGGTCATTGACTTACTCAATTTTCTGAGGGCATACAGAAAAAATATGACACATCCTGAAGATTTTGCAATCCTGTTATGCTCTTTTTTTCATTTTTAGATTGTACTGTTTTATCACTAATTCTTTTAAGATTCTGAGGGAGTTACTTTATTCCAGCTTTATATGCTAAAGGTATGCTCTCACTTTATATTTTTGTAATAAAATAATTTTGACACCACTGAAATATAATACAAGGTGATTGTAAGGTATTATTACTTTTATGTTTCCTAAAATTCATAGTGTTCTAGATGGATAATGAGCATAATTTTTTCTTTTGTATCATGACTATTCATTATTTACCTTAAACTATTTTTATTTTTTCTCATCTCAAAATTATTATAAGAATTGTCTTAATGGAAATACCTGTTTTTGAACAGTGAACGGCCTGTTTCATCTTACTATGAAAAAGAGAGTGTGAATTATATTCTCCCTATTATGACCCAGCCATATGATTTTAAACAGTTAAAGTCAAGACTTCCAGAGTGGGAAGAACAAATTATATTTAATGAAAACTTTTCCTATTTGCTCCGTGATGTTGATGAGAGCCCAAAAGTCATCTTGTTCTTTGAGGTATGGATTAAATAGAGCAGTTTAAAGTAAATTTTAATTGCTATTTTAATATAAGCCAAGTTTTTAATAGTTTAATGTTACAACAATACAATAATATGACAAAGTATAGTGATAATTTAATCTCTAGCATTTAGTGTTTGTAATATGATAATGGAAATACAAGTGAGGGATACAAGTAATACTTGCTGAGCATTTACTTGTGTGTTTAGTCATTTGATTTGCTCTGTATTATTTAATCCTTACACCACCATGACAGTTAACTGAAGTAATGAATCCAATCTCTATATATGCAATCCTCCATTCATAGCCCATTTCACAAAGTATAAACTCATTTATATCAAATTCTCTAGAAATTTGTATACTACTTGGATACATAAAGGTAACCATAGATAAATCAACTGGTTAAAACAATGTAATGCAGTACATAACTAAAATGGAATAGAACTCAGATATGAAGAGTTAGTGGAGGGTCAGAGGCAGTCAGGGAAGATTTTAGTGGAACATCTCACCTTTGAGCTGGCTTGTAATTCTAAGTTTTACTGCAAAGAAAATCAAGTTTTGGGATATAAAATGACTTTCCCAAAGTTATTCCAGTTTTAAGTGCAGGTAATTTGTATTTGAAAATAGTTTGAACCTAAAGTTCTTCCTATTTTCCCTCTACTTCATGTTAGCTTTCCATAAATAAAGGGAAAAAGAGAAAGTCTCTTTTTCAGTTTAAGCAAGATGGAGAATTTTCACATGGGAATAGCAAGACATGACCAGAGCCAGTAGTTCTTTTTGTCAGGTTACTTGTTTTTATATCCTAACTTTTATATGATACAAATTTTCCACTATATACATACATGGTTATGTTTTATGATTATTTTTAGAAAGATGTAATTTGTATTTCAAGAAACTTTTTCTTTGTGGTAGAAACTTCTTAAGTATTTTATAATCTTTTTAATTTAGTATAACAAAACTTAAAAAAGATAGATTGTTGGATTATAAATACTTTTGGTTACTTTATAACAATGTTATTGTCTACAATTGTTTTTTGATTTCAGCTTTTTGAAAGGTTATTTGAGGAAAACTTGATACTAATGCAATTCTTTAAAACCATAATTCCATTTTTAAGTATTTTTCCTAGGGGGAAAATGACAGTAAATACAGATGTATGGAAAGATATTTATTTCAAAATGTTATAGAAGCGAAAATTTTAGGTAGAAATCATTCTTTAGTAAGATATTTGATTAAATAAAATTTGGCTTTTATTAAACCATAATTAAGCCATTATTAAGTCCTGATATTTACAAGGCAGAAGATTACATATGTGTGTGTGACATGAAGAGATGTCACGTTATGTTATATAAAAATTGTTTGCAAAATGACATTGGAATTATAGTGCCACACATTCAGGAGTACACAGAAAAAAAGGTTCACATAACCAGATGTTAATGTTAATCATCTGAATTGTAAGTTGTTTTCCTTTTGTGAAATATTTTTCTTGCACTTTCAGTGTTTTTTTTCACTGAGCACATACTACAGGTGAAGACCGTCTTAAGTACATAAAAAAAGGATGGAGTTCATGTATTTTTTAGTAGTTTTCTATAGAGTCTTTATTTCATAAAGAACTTTCAATAAGCACCAGTATTTTCAAAGTGATAGTCTCTGCAGTTACCGAGAATAGTGTCTGTGGTTGCTTGGTTGTAAATTTATATATGTCCCTATAGGATATATATAAAAGAAATGTTTTTGAGAAGCCTAAGTAGAACATATGCACAAAAAGAATACTTAGGAAGGATGATCTTTCCTAAACTTAAAGGAAGACCATCCAAGGCAGAGTCAGGATATAGCCATGGCTTTTTAAGACAATTCTTTGTAGTCTACTGTTATTATTTAGGAAGTAATCTAAACTTAAGCCTTCTCTCCTTGGTATATTTGTGCATAGAATATATTTGAGGTAATAAACACTTTGCCTTGGTTTTAAATAAAGCTCAGTACAATATTCATAAAAGATAACATGGTTAAAAAAATAAACGACTATCATTGACCGGATTATTTACTTAAAGGTAAATGAAATTAGATGAAAATGTTTTTTCCTCCCTATAAGGAAAACAATTTTATGTATGCAAGTGATTTTTTAATTTTAATAATTTGTTACTAGAAAATACTAAATTTTAGGTATCCTCATATTCTGTGAAATAATTTTTTCATACTTACTACCAGATTCTTGATTTCTTAAGCATGGATGAAATTAGAAATAACTCTGAAGTTAAAAACCAAGAATGTGGCTTCCGGAAAATTGCCTGGGCATTTCTCAAGGTATGTTTTTCATCTATTTTCAGCACTTTTAAAATAATCTTCAAATCTGATTTACTGCTTTTCTCAAGTCATTTTGACTTTATATAAGGAGCTATGACCTAAGATAAGGCTATAGCGGTAAAGAGTTATTAATTCAAGCTCAGGGGATGCTCAAATATTTAGATTCTTAAATATTTGAGTTCCTACTGTGTGCTGAGCATACTCTTTGGCTCTGACGATGTAGCATTGAGACAGTCCAGGCATAATTTATTCAACTTAACAAATATGTATTAAACCCTTCCTATGTTTCAATCACTCTTCTAGTCAGTAACACAGAAGACAGACTCCTTGGCCACCAGGATTTTATATTCTAAAATGAAAAGCAGATATAAAACAATTGATTATGTGATTTATCTTTGTTATAATATTTATAAAATCTCTGGGCGTTATGGTATGGATGATAAAAGTCCTGTGGCGTCAGGGAATGATTTCCTAAAAAAGGCGACATTGAACCTGAGCATGAGCCAGATGATGGCAGTGGGGAAAAGTGTTTCCAGTAGAGGGTTCAGTCTATGCAAAGATGCTGATGTTGGAAGGAGCTACTCAGATAACAAAAGGAAGGCCACTGAGATTGTAGGACAAAGACTAAGAGAGAAAATTGTGCCTGAAGAGGTTGCTGAGGTGGAGGGGGGTTTATTAAACAGAGTCTTCTAACAAAATAAAGGCATTGTAGAAATTTAAAGAACAATGAGAAATCATTACAGGATTTTAAACAAAGGATGAAATAATCTGATTTATGTTTTGGAAAGATTACTTTGCTGGATGGAGAATGGATTAAAGAGGGCTCAAATATCTATGCTGGAAGTTCAAGATAGAAAATTCTTGCAGCAGTCTAAGTATAAATGTTAGAAATTATGGGATGCTTTTGGCAGAGATGAAAGATGTGAATAGATTGATGTTGAAAAAAATTTTAGTTTTATAATTCTTTTATTTTTGATATTCTTTATGAGTTAAAACATAAATTTGACTTATTAAAAAGTCTTAAATAATTAACCTATTTTGTAAATTTTATATATCTTTTATATTTGCACATCCATCATTCAAATATATCTATATGTCTATAACAGTAGTCATTCTTGTTTTCTAGTTCAGTTTCTATGTTAACATGTTACCTGCATACTTTTGTGCTATAATAAAGATTCTGTGAAAACCCAGCTGAAGCACTTAATCCACATTGGAGGTTAGGAAAGACTTTGAAAGAGGTGCAGTCTGAATGTTGAAAGGCAGTTTGGTTAGCAGTAGTGAGAAAGTAATTTCGCCACCCTTCTTCCCCTCCAGATGTCTCAGTTCTGTGGTCAGTTTTTAAGGGTTGGTTTTAAAGTTTGTCTTTGAAACTGGTTTCTCTATATTCCATATATAAATGACAACATCCTGTATTTATCTCTCTCCTGGCTCATTTCACTTAGCATAATCCCTCCCAGCACTATCCATGTTGTCACATGTGGCATGAGTTTATCTTTTTTGATAGCAGAGTGGTAAACAAAGCACAAAGTCACATTCACATAGTAGACATTGCCACCTTGTGGTTTTACTAGAAACCACTTTCATTCCTTTTATGCTGTTTGTACAGACCTGCAGTATTTACTATAAGTAGCATTTGCAGAAACAAAAAGGTATCTCATAGCATTTTTACCTTTAAGTGCTTGTGGATCTTTAAAATTTATCCATCTGATGCTGTTAGCGGAAATGGCAGTGATGAAGTCTCTCATCTCCATTCCTTGTACAGGGTAAAGTATGTCAAGTGCTTCTTCTATTGAACCACTTTTATATTGCCTTCATTAGATTGTAAGCTTTTCTTAAAATCTAAGTGACTTCTTTTTGGAAAGTTTGTTGAAAATTATTCCTTATTTATTGGCTCTCTTTAAATTTAATACATCACTCTCTTGAAATGCTCAATCCATAAAATCCCAGCTCCTAGCTTATTAAAAGTACACAAAAAGGAGTCCGTGAAAGAGTATCTGTTTGAGTTGGTGAGATTTTTAGTCTCATATTAATCTCCATTTATTTACCTTAAATGCCATTATTTAATCAGTTTTTACTGAATAGCCCTTAAGGAGGAGGCAGACTTCTTCACATACTTAATAAGTGATGAATGATTTGAATGAGTTTGATTTTCTTAATTATTAATTACTTCTTGAAAATGACTCTGACTTTTTAAATTTATTTTAACTTTTTAAAAACTAACACAATATAAAACTTTACTGTTTAAAATATTGATACTAAACAAATGGAAAGTGTGCTCCTATTTTTAAAATAATATGTATTTTAATTCTTGTCATCATTTTAAACCAATGTATATTGATTATCTCCTTGATGCAAGTGACATCTGGCACAATAATGTAAATGCTTTTCTAATAGTCTGAAATTGTATTTCATGCTGCTATCAGAAAAATATTTAAAAAGCCATTTGGGTTATATTTTGTCAAAATGATCTGGAACCGTGGCTTAACCATCTGTGTCTAGTTCTTTCCTCTGCCTTATAAATGTAAGGAATTTCAGCATGCCAGATTAATGAGTCTTTGGTTATTAACTATTTCCTTATTGAATGTACCTATTTTCAATGAGGATAAGATTTCATTTGAATTCTTATTTTAAGCTTCTAGGAGCCAATGGAAATGTAAACATCGATTCAAAACTGCGCTTGCAGCTATATTACCCACCTGCTAAACCTCGCTCTCCTTTAAAAGTGGTTGAAGTTTTTGAATGGTGGTCAAAATGTCCAAGGAATCGTTATCCATCAACATTGTATGTAACCGTAAGAGGACTAAAAATTCCTGAATATGTAAGTTAATAGCACATTAACATTATTAAATCTGTGTCCATTGTGTTGAGATTAAATAGTGACATGTTTTCCATTTCTAAAATGATAAGGTCTCTAGATTATCTTATAAATTACCACATTAGAAAAGTAATATCAGAGGTTATATATTAGACCTGTAGTAGCTGATACTTAAAAGATACATAAATGAATTTTAAGTCCTAAATATAGATTTGAGTGTTAGGGGAAAAAGGGTTTTTTAAAAATAATATTAGTTTTAAAAATTAACCATAGAAGTGTGATTTAAAGCAGGTGTTGACAGATGTTTTCCATACAGAACCAGGAATTAAATGGTTTAGTCTCTACATGCCATATAGTCTCCATCTTAACTTTACCTTTGTAGCATGAAAGTAACTACATAGACATGAGTAGGTAATAATTAAATGATGGGTACGGGTGTATTTCAATAAAACATTTTTTACAAAAATAGCAGGCTAGATTTAGTTCAGGCAACGGTTTTTTTTATAGTAGTATCTCTACTGCCATTTTCCATAGGCTGAAGTTACAAATAATCTTAGCAAAAAATTGGTCTTAAAACGAAGTGAAACTTTTCCTTTGGTCTTACTTACTTAAGACATTTCAGATCAGTTGTATATTTTGTAGTTGATATTATAACCTGTGTATCAAAACCTTTGACCTTTATTATATAAGTTTTGTGATTTTTAAAGCCAGAGATAGCCTATCAGCACTATTATATAATGTCTGGTAGATATTAGTGAAGAGGCTAAAACAAGGGAACAGAGTTATTAAAACCATTTCATACAAACCATTGGAGGTTTTAAAAGTTTCTCCCAGCTTTTAAGGCATTGTAGGGTAAGTAAAAAAGTATCAGGCTTTTCTGCCCTTCCGCCATTAGGATTGAAGATGGAACCCTGTGGTCCCAAATGCATGCCTTATAGCGGGCACCTGGAGTAGGGTATGGGCATGTGTAAGTGGGTACACCTGGGCTGAGAGACTGAGCTTATAAGGGCGGCGTCATGGTGATGCCAGCAGAACCACGAGAGGAAGCAGAGAAAACATGAGAGAAGGCCGGAGAGCCCAGAAAGAGTGAAGACTTGCTGGGGGCTGGGAGGCCTGCCTGTGTCTGCCGTGTGCCTGGTAAATCCCAATAAAAGCCTGCAAAAGCCACTGAGGGCTCCAGGACTTCTCCTTACCCTGTCTGCTCAGCTCATAGAGATCCTGCTCTGTGCCCATCCTGCCAATACAGGCATTTTTAATTTAACTTTCATTTTATTAGAATAATGCACCAATAAATATAGGCTTTTTCCTGGATTACATTTTGAAAACATTTCTGTGGTGTTTGCTATTTTCAAAGCAATAAATACTGGCAAAGAGCAAAAGATTAACATGCGCTATAAAAACTTTCTCATTTTTTACATGTACTTAGATAAAGCCATCTTACCGTTCTATGATGGCTCTTCAGGAGGAAAAAGGTAAACCAGTGCATTGTGAACATCACCATGAATCAAGTTCAGGAGACTCAGAACCTGGAATAGAAGATTCAAAGGAAGTTGTAAAGTGGAAACGACTACCTGGGCAGGTGAAATGTTTGATAATACTAGATTTTTTATAATACTAGATTCATTTGGATATTTAGTTTAAAAATTCTAGTAGTTTCTAGGGTATAACTAGCTTGCTACTTAAATCCCCCAGATTGTCCATCTTTGTTACCTCAGTGTTATCTTTCCATTAGGTCATTAATTATTTGACAAATAATTAAATGGAATACCTATCAAGTGCATAAAAGCACTTAGGTCCTTTGAGAACCCATGCCATTTTCTTACTCTGCTAGAACTGCCACAAAAAAATACTGCATTCTGAAAATCTGAAACAACAAAAATTAATTTCACAGTTTTAGAGTCTCAAAGTCCTAAGATGAAGGTATTGACTGATTGGGTTTACTCTGAGGCTTTCTCCTTGGCTGCCAAGGTGACTGCCATTTTGCTACCTCTTCATGGCCTTTTCTCCAAGCATGTATATCCCTCATATAGATCTCTTTTTTTTTTTTTTTTAATAGAGGCATGCTTTATTTATTTATTTATTTTGTTTGTTTATACAAGCACTGGGTACAGTCAGAAGGGCAGGAGGGTGAGAGAATTCACCAGAGCCAGAGCGGGGAGCAGAGCAGGCAGAAGGACCGAAGTACACTGCTGAGGGGAGCAGCGGGCGGCAGGGGGGTCTGCGCGCCATGTGGGACCCTCCTCCAGTGGCCGGGGAGCAGCCGGGGATCGAACCGGCGCCGCAGAGGCCGCGGGCAGCTTCGCAACCCAGCGCTCAACCGCTGCGCCACCGGGGAGGCCCCTAGATCTCTTCTTTTAAGGACGTTGTTGGATAAGTGAAAATTGTGAGGATTTCCCGCCCACTCGCTGTTAATATTAATGATTGACACCTGTGGGCTTGCACGCGTGCCTGATGGCAGACAACTGGAGTAGGGTGTGAGCATGTGTAGGTGTGCACACCTGGGGTGAGACTGGGCTTATTAGGGCGGCGTCGTGGCGTCTTCTATGCCAGAGGTAGAAGAAACTGAGACAGCTGGTAGCAGAGAAGCAGAGCAGAAAAGAGCCTGTGAGAGAACACTAGAGAGCCCAGAAAGAGTGAAGACTCACTGGGGGCTGGAAGGCTGACAGGCTATCCCTCCTCTCCCCCCACCTATCCCCTCCCACCCCGCATGTCATGTGCCTGGTTGCCGCACTACAAGTGATGTAAAAAGCTCAAAAGTCTGAGAAAGCCACTGAGGGTCCCAGGACTCTCCTTTACCCATCTGCCCGGTCATAGAGATCCTGCTCTGTGCCTTCCTGGCATTACAGATGTGAATTAAGTATTAGACATAGAGTTTAAATTCATTTAATTTGAGGGAGAACTGATTCTGTTTCAAAAGTAATTTGTTAGCGTTTTCCATTCTGCTTACTTGCTTTTCTTCTGGGACTTGAAAGAAAGAATACAACTCTACCACTACAGTAAGTAAAGTTAAACCTGGCCTTCCTATTTCAATATTTCCTAATTTATATTTTTTAAATGTATTTTTAGGCTTGCCGTATCCCAAACAAGCACCTCTTCTCACTAAATGCAGGAGAACGAGGATGTTTTTGTCTTGCTTTCTCCCATAATGGAAGAATATTAGCAGCAGCTTGTGCTAGCCGGGATGGATATCCAATTATTTGTAAGTAAATTATCCTGTTTAATCTGATTATAGTCTATATGGAGGGCATTCTTTGATTTTTAAAATTAATTGATATCTTAATTTGAGTAATGCCCTAGTTCTACTAATTTAAAGAAAATAGGCTTTAGTAAAGCAACAGTTTTTTTTCAAAATAATTTATATTTTTCTGTATAATTTTTATTTAGAAATAGAATGAGCATGATGAAATGAAGATGTAAATACATATTTAAAACATGCAGGGTGATTTTTGCAAGCATTTTTCATTTTAAATACAGAAATTTAGGGACAAAGGATTAATTGATCTCATGAGGAATTTTAATCCAATGTTGGCAGGTGATAGCAACCTAAATTAAACTGTAGAAGCCCTCAAACATGTGTGCTATGAAACAATAATTGGCCCAGGAGTACCTGGATAAATACTTCTTGTTATGATAGAGAAGTTTGCAGAGACCCAAATCCAATCTCAAACTGCCTTTAAAAATATAGAAAACCATGTTAAAAAGAAAAACTACTTCTATATTGATAGATTTTTTTTTTTGAAGTGAGTGTTATCACACTTAGAAGCAATAAATCCTTTCCCTTAATTCTTGCTCAATAATGATACCAGTTCAGCTCAGAAGGAAATAGCCAGCTTTTCATCCTCTGTCCTTTGCAAGAGATCTTACTGAATTTTCCTGGACTGATTTGCTTTTGTTCAGCAGGGACTCATAATTAGTTTGATTAGCACTTATTAAATAATATTCTTCCCCATGAAATACCGTTAACTTTGCAAAACATAATTATTTACGTAGTTTGATCACCATTATATGATTTAAAAAATTTACCAAAATCTGTGCATAGGGTAAAAAAAATTCTGAAGAAGCACCCCAAATATTAATAGTGATCTCTCTTTGTGACAGTGAAATAGTTACTTGATTCTGATTTGTTTTTACATTTCTGTGATAAATATCTTACTTTATGACAAAAATACACTTGTTCAAAATGCTAAGTTTAGATATACTTACTGCTTAAATCTCAAAAGAAAAAGGCTCAAAAGCTCTGCTTTTGGTTTTTGTTTATGATGTTTCTACTGGTAATTGGTTTTGACTGTTGAATGCGCAGGTGATGTTTTTCATACATTTGGGAAAATTAGTCTTTATTTCTACAAATGTCCTTTCTAACCACCCCCCTTTTTTTCCCCTGGAACTCCATTTTGTTTTTCTGCTTCTTCTGGAACTCCATCATTTCTGTGTTGCTATAGTTGGTGCTGTCCCATAGGTCTCTTCAGCTTTCCTCTTTATTCATTCTTCAGTCGTTTTCTTTCTGTCCATCAGACTGCATAAACTCAATTGAACTATCTTCAGGCTTACCAGTTCAAATATGCTTTTGAGCTCCTCCAGTGAATTGTTTATTCTAGTTAATTGTACTTTTCAACTCTAGAATTTCTGTTTGGCTTTCTTTGATAATTTATGTCTCTTTATTGATGATCTCTTTTTTGATGAGAAATAAAATAATTTCTCACCTTAATTGTTTTTAATGGTTTTCTTTAGATACTTAAACATTAGTAGATTTAAGTCTTTAAGAAGAACAATATCTAGAATTCATTATGGAGAGTTCAATTAACTTTTTTTTCCTGTGAAAGGGCATACTTTCCTGTTAATTTTTTATTGTCTCCATAATTTTTTGTTGAAAATGGGATATTTCATATATGAGAATATGGAAATTCTGGAAATCATATTCTTCTTTGTCCAATTCTCCATCCACCCAACAGAGATTATTTATCCTAGCCTGTTTGTTTAGTGATTTTCCTGGAGTGATTCTATCATCTTTTTCCTTCATCATGTATAGCTCCTGAAGTTTCTATTTGGTTAGTTGTCAGCTAATGGTTACAGAGATTTTTAAATGCCTTGAGTGAATAGATACCCCAGCCTTGGTCGTGAGGCTTTCGCAGGCATTTTCCAACTATGCCTTGGCCTTCTCTTCCTATTTGAACAGAGCCTCTTCAGGGTACCCAGTGTGAAAGAGGGCCTCTCAGGTTTTCTTGGGCATGCACACAACCTTTCACATGTGTGTGTTCATCTAGAATCCCAGGAATGACTCGAAGTTTTTTTAAGTCCCCTCATGGATATCTCACTCCCAGACTTTTCCTTTTAAGTTTTTGGTCAGCTTCTTAGCCCCAGCTGGTATCACAGCCTCTGAGGGCTATGCCACTGGTTGTCTTAGCATGCATCCTTCCGTTAGGGCTGGGACCAGCATGCGCAGAGTCAGGTCAAATAAAGCCAAACACTGAGAATGAAGACTGAGGGTATTGCCTCACTAACACTGATGTCGTGAAGATGGGACTTTGGGGAAACTTCAGACCTTTGTGCCTCATCCCACGTCAGCTAGACTACTGGTTTTAGTTGTGAGATTTTTGGTTTTTAAAATTTCTTTGGAGCTTTGGAAGGGCAAGTTAAAACACATCTGAGCTCAGTGTTCTTACCAAGATGCAGCTATTTTTCTTGCAAAAATACTCCTATTTTTATAAGCTTTTGCTTAATATTCAGAGTTCTGGAAAAGTTGACTTTTGTTCATGTTCTTTTTGCTTTTTAAAAAAAATTCTTATTTTTCTGTTCCAGAAATAATTCTATACTGCTTAAATGGCTTTTGGTTTTACCACTAGGTGGAAGTAGAGATGTGGAAACTTTTGTTGTTCAAGGTTTCATTATATACATTATATACACAAAAGGTTTCATTCTATACATAAAATAGTAATACCCCAATATATGTATGTATTTATGTATGTATGTATATAAAATCACTTTAGTAGTTTAAATTATTATTTCAAATAATTAAACCTTTGGTTGGATCTTTTTGATTTTCAGGTAAAACAATAACATTCATAAACGCCCAAATTATAGAAATTTTGAAGTGAAATGCACTTTCAATGTCTTGTTATTTTATTAATAAATTGATTATTGACGTTTACTAGAATTTCTTTGAAGAGATGAGAATAATTGTTAATTGCAGCATTTTCTAAAATTCTATGTGTGTAAATTCTTCTGTCTAAAGCAAATAAAAAACTATTTTAAGTAGGCTAAAATTTTTTATATTGACAGTGTCCTCGATGACATAGTATTCTTGTAGACAATGCTTGCCTTATGTACAAATTACTATAAGTTATGTATTTGTGTACTGCTGGATTAAGGATTCACTGGAAACCTACTAATTTTTAATATTTTCATTAGTATATGAAATCCCATCTGGACGTTTCATGAGAGAATTATGTGGTCACCTTAATATCATTTATGATCTTTGCTGGTCAAAAGATGATCGCTATATACTTACTGCATCATCTGATGGCACTGCCAGGTTAGTATACCTGAAAAAACTTATTGTATGAGGAGTTTGTTATCAAGGAAAACAAAGGGAATGTGTAAAGTGTTATAACTACTTTTCTTAATCAAGGGGTTGTCATAAATATATATCATACAGATTGAATAAATGTAGTGAAAACTTCTTATTGCATGTTCTTGTTAAATATATTTATTTAGGGCCTCCTTGGTGGCACAATGGGTTGAGTACAGCACTGCAGAGGCTGTCTGTAGCCTCTGCAGTGCTGGTTTGATTCCCGGCCGGCCAGGAAACAATCCCCATGGTGGGGCAGACCTCTCCTGTCTTGCCCGCTGCTCCCCTCAGCAGTGCACTTTGGTCTGTCTGCCTGTTCTGCTCCCCGCTCTCTCTCTCGTGACTCTTCTCATGCTCCTGCGCCTCGGGCCTGTACCCCAGTTCTTTTATAAAAATAAATAAATCTGTAAAAATATATATATTTATTTATGTGATAGATAATCCTTCTAGTCCTAGGTAACAGTCATTATGTGCACTCTTCAATTAATACTTTAAAATGAGTTTATTGAACAGCTGAGGTTTTTTGTAGAATATAAGCTCTTGATTGCAAGGATGCCATCTTCACTGTTGCCTGGATGCAGAAGCCAGGCCCTAGTGGTCAGTATAAACCAAAATACATGAGCGTGTACCTTATGCTCTAAGAACTTTATACTTTGTCAGGTATTTGCATTATTCAGAATGTAGTCTTAATTTAATCCTTTCCAGTTTAATATCACAATGAAATATTTAAAAAGCTACTTATTAGAGTTTCAGTTATACTTTTTTTTGGCTGCTTGTTCTATCTTGGATGTTTTCTAAAAATATTGCTTGCCTTTATGCATATACATACATAATCTTATAATTCCAATAAATGTTAAGTAGATACATATAAATATTTATTATCTCAACAGACTGAGAAAATGACCATTAGAGCAAGTTGAGATCCACCCTGACTTCTGTCATATTTACTTGGGCATTTTGCTCTTTTTAAACACACTTTTTTTAATAGCTACTTCTGGTATTTGTGGTCCTTCTATTACTCTTATCCATTTCCTTTTTAATATAAAATATCTAATTGATCAAGTTATTAATACTCTTTTTATTAAAACAAAAAAGATGGCAGTTGTGACAATTGATTTCCCTCTCTATCTAGCTGGGCACCTATAGTCCCTCTTAACAATACCCAAAAGAATTTGGTCTGTTTTTTTAACATGGCCAATTCTGTCTGATGTCAAGTTTTTCTAGAGAAAAATACATAGCTTATCTAAGACCTGACTGGATTTGTAAGTCTTAAAGTCACCCGAGCTGTCATTTTTGCAGAGCAGTACTTTTACTTATCTTTATCCAGCTGCCTTTTCTCATTCTTCTAACAGTAGTTCCAGACGTTACCGTGCGTCAGGTTCTTTATATTCAGTCTTCCTGCTTTCATAATGACTGCCTTCAGTTTACACTGGCACTTAGCCAGACATGAGCTTTTCTGTTTCCCTCTTAATACCTATAAATTAACCCATTTTTATATCTACCCACCTATCTTACTAAAAAGGTACAGAACCTTCAAGGTTAATCTGTGACCTATACTTTTAATCTTTGTCCTTTAATCTGTGGTTTTGTTATTTTTATTTTCTACCTATCTTGTCTCTTTAGTAAATCTTTCCCCTCTCATCTTAGGAAATATGTTCAAATCGCCTTATCTTAAAAAAATCTTTTCCCCTACTCTTTCTGCTTTCCAGACTACCACATTATTTTTCCTCTGTATGCTATCAAGAGCATTCAGTATGTGTTGTCTTTACTTCAACATGCTTAGTCTGGCTTTTTTCACTCTTACTTTTGCAGAGGTCACCAGTTTCATACTAATTTTCAGATGAATTGGACAGTTTGCATTCACCACAGCAATTAATTACTGACCAGTCTTGAAATATGTTCAATTCAGGATTCTCATTGACAGTGTCTTCTGTTTTCTTCTCATGACTTTGATCAATTCTTGTTCTACTTCTCTCATTCCTTTTCCTCTGTCTGTTCCATATGAATGGTCTCTACAGATGTGTGTCCCCAGGATCCTTTACCTGATTATCTTCCCTGGATTGTAATCTTGATTCACATTTCTCTCATCTTTTTCAGTTTTGAATCCCACTTATACGCTAATACTTCTAGCTCCCACACTTTTTTCCTGAGTCTGATATTTATTTAGATATCCTGGTAGTATCTCAAATCCAGAATTAAACTTATCAATGTCCCCACTTTTTCTACTGTTTTAAAGGTATCCTTAGCCACACTGTCTCTGATTTTGGGACCTCTCTTCCCTCTTGACCATCATTCTTTTCCACATCTAACTAATACTAAACTATGTCACTTCTCCCTCCTAGAAGGCTCACCATCCTATTACATCATTTCTAACAAGCCCATCTCTTCCCACTCCATCCCCTCTTACACATAGGTCTTAATTTTGGTAGGTTTATTCATTCTCAATCCTAAAAATTGTTTTGTGTTATCTTTTCAAATTTGTGTATTCTTGTTCTCTGTGATTAACCTGATTTCCCTCCCTCCCAAATCTGTTGGTAAATTTGTTTTGATTGGAATTCTACCATTGCTTCAGTGACTAAAACCATCGTTAATGATATAAATTAAGTTTATACATAAAAGCTTCATTTTTATTTAAAAGTAGTAATTTTTTCTTAATTGAACTATTTTTAAGATATTGCTTCATTTCTGCCTGTTACATGGTATTTTAAATAATGCTGCTAAGCTTTAATAGCAAGCACCTGAAGTTTTTATATTTTAGCTATCTTTTTAATATTTCCCTCCAAATTAGTGATTTTGTTTTCAGTAAGTATTACATTTCATGTAGCATCTGTTCATTGAAAGTACTGCTATGGTAAAAATGTTTATGCAGTAACACACATGCTTGTTTTTACTTGAAAACATGTTCTTTCACTTCCTTCATTATTAGTTTGAATTCTTAGTAATTGAAGATCATATCCTGTATTTTAAGCAGCTGTTGAGAAAACTCACAAAATGTTATTCTTGAATAGCAACTGCAATTTTTTTCTTTTATTGATAATTTTGAGAAGGCCTTGATCTGCTTTAGTTTTCTGGCAGTACTTGAATCCCCATATTAAAAAAAGAAACATATTCTTCTAATTCGAATAAACTTAAACTTTTTAAAAACCCATTGTTCCATATTCATATAACTCCCGTCTGTTGCTAGATTTTGCCTATTTTTTATACATTGACTAAAAGTATAGAGTAACTGACATAACAGTTTTACCCTTTGGGCTTATGCTTTTGTCAAGACTGTAGATATGAGTGTAATAGTAATGTTTTAATTATCCAATACTTAGCGGAAGAGACAAACAGTTTAATGTAGGATAATCTGTCTTTTTTTTTTTTTAAAGATTTTTTTTATACAAGAACTGGGGTACAGTCAGAGGCATGGGAGGGTTAGAGAATTCACCAGAGACAGAGCGGGGAGCAGAACAGGCAGACAGACCGAAGACATTGCTGAGAGGAGCAGCAGGCAAGGCAGGAGAGGTCTGCTCCACCATGTGGGTTGCTCCCTGCCTGGCCAGGAATCGAACCCGCCCTGCAGAGGCTGTGGACAACTTCACAGTGTGGTGCTCAACTCACTGCACCACCGGGAGGCCCAGGATAATCTGTCTTCTATCAAAATATCAGTTATTTTAATCTTTTATTCTGTAAGTTATATAGTAATTTCAATATGGATTTTAAGTCTTTGGGATCTTCTTATTCAGAAATCTAGACTCAGAAATCACAACTACAGGTTAATAGAGTGCCTTATTCTTTAAATTACCACTAGTAAGCACTTTGAGCAAGCAATATACACAACCTAATTAAATCATTAAAGTTTCTCCTGGTATTTTATTTTTTTTATTATTTTTTTAAAAGATTTATTTATATTTATTTATTTATTTATACAAACACTGGGTACAGTCAGAAGTGCGGGAGGATGAGAGAATTCACCAGAGCCAGAGCGGGGAGTAGAGCAGGCAGAAGGGCCGAAGCATACCGCTGAGGGGAGCAGCGGGTGGCAGGAGAGGTCTGTGCGCCATGTGGGACCCACCTCCGGTGGCCGGGGAGCAGCCGGGGATCGAACTGGCGCTGCAGAGGCTGGGGGCAGCTTCGCAACCCAGCGCTCAACCGCTGTGCCACTGGGGAGGCCCCTGATATTTTATTTTTGATGTATGTTATAGCAAGTGCGATATTTTACCAACTATACATTTACTGAATGACAAAGATAGGTAGATTTAAAAAACAGATAAACATTCAAATATAAATACAGGTTTTCATTTTACTATATAGATTATATTAGTAAACAATATTTAAACTTGATAATGACTATAAGGAAAGCCATAACATGTGATCCCATTATTTTTTATTGTTTTAAAATTTACCATTGGTGTTATCAACTTATTTAAATCTGTTGGCTACATTGGTTGTTGAGAAATGTCTGCCTTTTGGAAATGATATTAATTTTTTACTCTTCTCCAGGATTTGGAAAAATGAAATAAACAATACAAATACTTTCAGAGTTTTACCTCATCCTTCTTTTGTTTACACGGCTAAATTCCATCCAGCTTTGAAAGAACTGGTGGTTACAGGATGCTATGATTCTGTGATACGGATATGGAAAGTTGATATGGGAGAGGACCCTGCAATTCTGATTCGACAGTTTGACACTCACAAGAGTTTTATCAACTCTCTCTGTTTTGATACTGAAGGTAAGTCAGTAATAATATATGTATATAAAATTATAACATATATATATGTTCCAAATGAGGGCTAGTTCTATAAAAACTATACAAATGTTACTTGCACTGGGATAATTATTATTTGAGTTTGAGAGGAATTTTATGTGTTGATAATTGTTTGTAGATATTTAGATTTATACATATGTTCAGATCATCTGATAGACCTGAGCATAGATTTGGTACTGATGAAGTTCTATTTGTAATTTTAAAGTATTAAATTCCTAAACATTTAGAATTAACTAATCTTTGATGTAACAGGCATTCCTATTCCAAATAAGTAAATTTCATTGGATTAGTAATTATTATTCTCAGTAGTTTTTTTTTAATGACCTTTTAAACTACAGGGTAAAAATGAGGAAGGTACAGTGAAATCCAAAAGGAATATTGAGAATATATATTTTGAATATAGCTATTAGCTTATCAAATACAAAAACATATAAGCAAAATTATTTAAAGACTTGTCTAACTCTATGAATAATATAGCTGGTATTTTATTAAAGATGTAAATATAGATTATCAGTTGGAAGAATAAAGAAATTCATTATATCTATTAAGTTTCACTTTTTACATTATTGCAGAGACTAGACCTTTAGGCTATAGCTATAATTAATTAGCGTGGAATTCAAATCAAAATGATAATATTGTTAATATACTCAGTACAATCCAAAGATGTTACCAAATTGGAACACTTTCAAGAAAGGTTAACCTTGGATGGAAAGGTGTTTAAAAGCTGTCATATTAGAAGTAGCTCATATTGTAAAAGAGAGATGAAGAATTTCTTCAAATATTTGGCATTAAGATATTTATATATGATAAAAAGAGAATTCAGTCTGTGTTACTCCAGTAGGTAGCAAATAGGGTTAAAGTTGCCATAGAGGGATTTTGCTCAGAATGAAAAAGAACATTCGCATTCATAGTTCATCAGTTGTATAAGCTGCTTTGTACATTTTAAGTTACTATTTGGTGAACAACCATTTCTTTGTAATGGTGTGTAAGATATGCTTGAATGGGTCTGAACTTTTAATGGTCTCTGAGGGCCCATTCAGCTGTAAGATAGTTTTATTCTAAGATTGATATTAAACTAGAACTCCTAGATAATTGGGATTTGCTTTCGAATTTTTTTTTTATATTTGGGATTTTTTTTTAACTGAAATATCTTTTAATAACCTTCTGTTTTGCTGTGATGTATTTTCTCAATGTCATATTTGTTTCCACCTCTGTATAACATTTATAAACGAGTAATTTCTTTATTCAACTAGGTCATCACATGTATTCAGGAGACTGCACAGGAGTGATTGTTGTTTGGAATACATATGTCAAAGTTAATGATGTACAACATTCAGTGCACCACTGGAGTGTAAATAAGGTATGAAATCATATTTCATATTGGTATTCAATTAGAGAAACGAAAAAATGTCAATCCACATGACATTGTGTCCTGTCTTTTTCAAAAAAATAAGTTCTCTCACTTCTTGAAAAGTCAGTTATCATTGATGATCATCCTGCTGGCTAATTGATGATACAGTGACTTAGTGAAATTTTCTTCACTAGAACCAGGCTTTACTTTGATTTTATTTTTTGAACCTTAACTGTACTGTGACATTTAATGATTTATTAAGGAAATTTACGTTAAGTGGGATTATGTTATACCACTTAGATGTATTTATAGATGTATAGATAATACATTTGCCTATCTTTTTTTTTTTTTCCCTTGATCCAGTGACACCACTCTAAGCTTTCAGAATTATATGATGCTGAGGGTGGCTCATCATTTAATTATCATCATTGTCTCATTTGAAATTGCTAAATAGAAATGAATGATGGTGCTCATTTTTGGAGTACAGTGTTTCAAGGTAGCTTGTAGACTAAACAATTTTGTTGGATTTCTTTAGTTAAAATACAAAATGAATCATTAAATTTGAGTATGTTTTGTATACACTGACACAATTTTTATATTACATGCTGCCTTTGTTCTTCAATTTTTTTGTTTGTTAGACTAGATTGTAACAATTGTCCTTATTTGAAAAGTTACTCTTATGTAATAAATAATTTTCATGAATTACAGTTTTATATATAATATATAATTATATCAGTCTATGAGTTTAAAAAGTCTAATTTTAGTCATTTTCACCTAGTCTGTCAGATTAATGAATGATATCTTGGAATTCATATAGTCTAATTTCACTCACATTGAAAATAGAGCTTTCTAATTACTTATGTACCTGAGGGATTGGCAAGGCTCCAAAGGCACTGACTTCAATTATTTGCATCTATAAAGAAGAGTTCATTATTGTGTTAAAAAAAAAAAAATGTGTGTTTCTTTACAGTATTATGGTAACCAAAAGGCAAATTTATCTAGAAAATCTACAGCCTGGTGATTATTTGAGACAGTTATCTTTACCATAGGTAATGCCCTAGGACAAACCGGAGAGTACGATTTCTTGCTTGGTTCTCTTCAGCCAGTTTTGTGGGGAATGCTAAATTACATTCATCTGTCCATGTGCTTTTGTACATGCTCCAAGGTGAATGACATGGATATTTAAGCAAGTTTTTTTTTTTTTAGTTTGAACGTGAATGTAATAAGGAAAAAATGTAGACAAAATCATTAATGGATACTACAAGCACGAAATCTTCCAGCATGTTTCTCAAACTTACACTTAACAATTAACTTGTTAGATGGTTTTGGTTTTGATTTTGCACATTTGCGTTGGCTAAGTGTCTGTTCATTTGCTCAAACCCCACATAGTGCATACCTACCCCTAATTGTTGTAAATCAGCTCAGTAAAATCCCCGTCTATGGTGTCAGCGTATGACTTTTTCTATAACTTTTAAAAAGTGGGTGAAAGCAGGTTTTAACGTCAAAAAGCAGTAACCAGGGCTCAACTGCTGATAATAGGTCTGTAGCAGTTTGTATCTGACTTCTACTGGTGCCAACCCACCTCTGACGAGAAGACCCCCTAGAAGAAGGGAATACAAAATAAGAGAAGCCTAATTCAGAAATTCTTTCTGTAGGTTAAAGCAGATTTTCCTTTTTTAAAAATTAGTTTATTTTTTAAATGTGATATCATTAGGATTCTATCAACTATCACCACCACCATAAGGTACCTACCACCAAATCACCCACAGTCCACCACCTTAGTCTATTGTGCTTCCTTCCTCTTGGTTCCTACCTCTCCTCCACCACCTGCCCCTTTGGACACTTCAGTTTTTTAGTCAGTTTTCAAGGGCTAACTTTTAAGATTGTCTTTCTCTGGTTCTTGGTATGGTTTCTCTATATTCTATGTATTAGTGACACTAGCTGGTATTTATCTTTCTGCTTCAACTTATTTTATTTAGCATTATCTCTTCTAATTCCATCCATGTCACTAAAGCAGGCTTTCCTTTGGCTCAGTGAACTTCAGCGTCAGCAGTTTTACATTTGCAATTTTTTTCTCTCAACTGGTAATCCAAGCAGGGAGGACATTTGGTAATTTTTCTTACGCGAAACTTATATTGACACATTCTCTCTCAGTGTTGTTGACCTTGACATCATTAATTAGGTGACTTCCATCACTGCCTTAAATAACTATATAAAAAAAACCCTTAAAATTATTTTCTAAATTCAATGATTTCAGAATAAATTGTTGATCATATACCCTTTTAAGGATAAGTGGAGGTAAAAGTATGAGGAAATAATCTGAGTCTGAAATAGAACTTGAAAGTTAATTCTGTGCTTTTGAATTATAAAAACTGGAAGCTTTCTTATATGATGACAAACAGAAAAAGTGGTATCAGAATATGTTTTTAGGAAATGCTTCCTTGGAACTAACTAAATTTTGGCAAATCATGTATAATACAAAAGCACATTGTGACTAATTAAGTATGACTTTATATCACAACCCAAAGTATATTTTATTAACTTTATTTTTATCCTTAATTTGAACTCACTGGGACTTCTAAAATTGCCAAAAATTTTAAATCATCCTGTGTAGTACAATTAAATGAAATATCTTAATTTTGTACTGTAAAAAAGGCTCATCGCTAGACAAAGTTTACAGCAGTAATTATCTTATCATTTCAGGAAATTAAAGAAAGTGAGTTTAAAGGGATTCCAATAAGTTATTTGGAGGGTCATCCCAATGGAAAACGTTTGTTAATACATACCAAAGATAGTACTTTGAGAATTATGGATCTCCGACTGTAAGTATATATAAATATTGACAGTTCAAGGATTCATAGAATAATGAATTTATTGATATTTATAAAATGCAGCTGTGACTCTCAGCTAGACCATTTTGTCCCTTGGGACATCTGGCAGTGTCTGGAAATGTTTTTGTAGATTGATTCTAGCACCTAGTGGCTATAGACTAGAGATACTGCTGAACATCCTATAGTTCAAAAGACAGAGTCCCTCCCACTCCCTGCTCCAGAGAATTATCTGGGTCAAAATGTGAATAGTTTTTTTTTTTAAAGATTTATTTATTTATTTATTTATTTATTTATTTATTTATTTATTTATTTATTTATTTATACAAGCACTGGGTACAGTCAGAAGCACGGGAGAGTGAGAGAATTCACCAGAGCCAGAGTGGGGAGCAGAGCAGGCAGAAGGACCGAAGTACACTGCTGAGGGGAGCAGCGGGCGGCAGGAGAGGTCTGCGCGTCATGCAGGACCCTCCTCTGGTGGCCGGGGAGCAGCCGGGGATCGAACTGGTGCCACAGAGGCTGCGGGCAGCTTTGCAACCCAGTGCTCAACCGCTGCGCCACCGGGGAGGCCCAAAATATGAATAGTTTTAAGGCTAAAGTGTAGTCAGTTGCTTTTTATTTTCATAATTAAAAATAAATAAACTTCTACTTGCTGTACCTTTTCATCTCTATGATAGTATAATATTATGATACAATATCACAGCTGACTGAGAAGTATTTAATTAATACATTCTTGTTTTTATTTTTTTGTTTTACTTTTAAATAATGTAAATGAAAGGAAATGCCTTTAATAAAGAAATTTTGGGCAAACCAGTGTAAATTTCTGGTGAGCTTTCCTTTAGGTGTTAACAGTTCCTGTGGAAAATAATGATAGCATTTTTTTTAAGATTTCTTTATTTTGTTTAGAAAACAAGATAGTAATTTGTTAGTCTGTTCTGCAATTATCTTTTTGTGACTAACCATTAAGTCCATTAATATTTATGTAGAATAGTTCAGAACACTGGCCTGGGTGCTGCGGGGGAATGATAAGCACCATCAGCTTATCTAGAATTTATTATCTAGCTGTGTCACTTCCAAAATAACACACAAAACCTTTAATTAGGCTAAATGTAAGATATTTTCTGATTAGACCCTACTTTTCTTTTTTTTCCTACATTTTATACTCATGTTATGCCTGGCAGACAGCAAGTATTCAGTGTGTATTTTTTTAATGAACATAAGTATATCGTAAAGTTGACTGTATTTTTCATGGCAGCAGTAAAGCTGGTAGGTATAATAAAATTTTCTGTTAAGGACTTAATGGAGAAGTGGGCATTTGAGCTCAGTTTTGAAGCATTAGTGGATTTAGAGAAAGTGGATTTAGAGAAGTTGGATGTGTTTTCAGTAGAGTGGGAAGCATGAAAAGCTTGAATTGAATTAATATTCAGAGGTGTATATAAGTTGTACCTGAGACAAAGTCAGTTTACATCTGTATGAGCATAGGTTTCCTGACAAGGAGTATTAAGAGAAAACTTCAGAAATAGAGATTAGAGCCCTATTTTAGAAGGTCAGGCCTTAGGAGTTTGGTTTTCTTTTTAGCAATATAATATTCAACCTAAGGTCATGGCTCTAGAGACGAACTGCTTGGAATCAAATTCTGCCTTTTCCACCCTTTATTAACTGATGACTTCTGTGTGTCTCTCTTCTCATCTCTCCAATGGGAAAAATAATATATACCATCTTCATAAAGGGGAAGATACTAGTGGGGAATATACTAGTTTATAATGTAAAACACTTAAATCATTACAGCACATAGCAAGGACTTAAGAAATGTTTGGTCCAGTAACCTCAGTTCTGGGGCATTTATGTAAAGAAAACAATTATAAAACAGTGTAAAAAATATACATTCAAGATTGTTCATCCAAACCATACTCATTGTGGGGAAAACCTAGAAACACACTAAGTGTTATCCTAGAATAGAAAATTGAAAATATATTTAGACAATTATGTAGCATAAAGCTTTTAATATTATAATACATACTCAAGTTTTCTTACATGTAGGACCATTGTGGTTTATTATTGAGTGAAAAAAGCAGATAACAGCGTGGTATCTATAAAACCAAAATCTCTCTTTAAACCAGAGATGATAATAGTGTTAACTGGGTGCACAGTAGGCACTGAAACAGTGTTATCTGATATTCATAAGTGAAAAAGCATGTGAGATTGGATTCTATATTCAATAGATGACTTAATAATGTGTTTGCTAACATTTTTGTGAGGATCAAATATTCCTTGTGTGATTTTTAAAACTATATTGCATGAAGCAACTATTAACAGAACTAAAACAACAGAGCGACAAAAGTACAGTCATTGTTGAAGACATCAGCTCACCACTGACATGAAGGGATTGATCATATAGACAGACAATTTAGCAAAGAAATAAAGGCCTTAAATGAACTGTTAGAACAGATAGATTTATTAGACATTTATAAAGCTTTCCATCCCAGAAAAAAATGAATACACTTTCTTCTCCAGTGCACACAGAACATTCTCAGGAATAAATCCACAATATTTATCCAAATAATATCAAATAATATCAAAGTCTAGGTATTTATCCAAATAATATCAAAGTCTTAATATGAAAAGATATATTTATGTCTGTGTACATAGAAGCACTGTCCACAATTTCCAAATTATGGCACCAACCCAAATGCCTTTCAGCAGATGAATGGATAAAGAAACTGTGGAATATATACTCAATGGAGCACTACACAGCTGTGAAAAAAGATAAAATAGTGGCATTTGGGGCAGTATGGATGGGTCATGAGGTGATTGTGTTAAGTAAAATAAGTCAAATAGTGAAAGACAGATAGCAGGTGGTTTCATTCATCTGTGAAATATAAATAACCAAAAATATACAAAGGAAAAATAGTGTAGGAATAAATCTTGAACTCAGTCAAAGAATATAGTGGTTACCAGAGGGAGCAGGGACTAGGAAAGAGGAGATGGAGGAAAAGCGTAGGTAGGTATATGGATACTGGTAGCTGGGCAGAGTGTGTATGTGCACATATGGAAAAAAGAAAAAAAATAATTTATCACATGGGAAGGATATCTAAAAATATAGAAATTCTGTTCATTTTTTAGTCACCAACTCTAATGCTACTTTATTATGTAGTCTCCTTCTCCATAGCCAGAATTAATCTGTTATCCAGATCTGCAGTTTCCTTTTTGTTCTTCATTTGTGGTACTTTCTGCATCCACTTTCTGTTTTACATTGATTGATTTCTTTCTCCCATTTAATTATAATCTCTCTGATTTCTGGGACTGATTATTCTATATCCATCGTAGAATTTCTCCCACATAAAGGATTAAAAATTTGTTTATTAAATGCAAATGAAATATTTAAGTTTCTCTACTGCTAGCCTTTTAAATGTGTAAGACAGGTTACATTTGTAAAGTCTTTTGTTGTTGTTTATAGATTAGCAGCAAGGAAATTTGTAGGTGCAGCAAATTATCGAGAGAAGATTCATAGTACTTTGACACCATGTGGGACTTTTCTCTTTGCTGGAAGTGAGGATGGCGTAGTATATGTTTGGAACTCAGAAACAGGTAAATATCTCATTGATTTTTAAAAATTTTGTGTAAAACTAACATTTTATGGAATAATTTTCAAGGAAATTCTGGTTTTAAGTTCTCAATCATGTTTTTCAAAATTGGAAAATTGATAATTTTCAAAATTGAAAATTGGAACTGAGCAACACTCTAAATTTATATTAAATTCTGTTCTTTATTGTTTTGTGCTCCTAATGGATTTAGAATTTTACATTACAAAATTGAAGGTTTATTCTTTCCTTGCTTGTAATGAGATATTTTTGATCTTAGAAAAATACTGAGTACTATAATGAAAAATACAGAATATTTTTCTGTATAAGCTTAATTTGTAATACAACTTATCATGCAAATGGCTAAACATCTAAAATATATTTTTATTAGAAACAAATATTCCTATCAAAATTTTTGATGTCTGAAATTCAATAACAGTTTACTGCAATTCAGGGTTCCCCCCCAAAAGAAAATTACCTATTACCCTGGGAAGTTCATTTGTGCCTCACCTTTGCTTTTTAGAGGTAAAACCAAAACTACATAAATATTATTTCATTTATCCAGTTCCATTAATCTTTCCTTTAGATATTTCTTGACTAGTCAATTTACTTAGATTTTTTTTCTTACTGTGATTTGATACTTTAGCATCAGTTCAGAAATGATAAATGAATCTTTTTCCTTTCAATAACTGGACCTAGATTCTTTGTTGAGTTCTCATTTTCACAGATTCTATAAACCTCTGCTATAGACCTCTTTTAGCCATTAATAATCATAAATATCTTTAAAACAGATAATTCCAGCAGCCTCTGAAAAAAAAAACAGAAAATTTAATGTAAAAATTAGTTCCCACTAAACGTCTTTGCTTTGAGATTCTTTGTTTTGAGACCTACAGTTTCTCACCTAGTTCTGAGTGGAATTCTAACAGAGATTTAACAGTTGGCATTTGCACAGCTCTGTCAAGTTTCAGAGGTAGATACTATTCCTTCTAAGCTCTTTGTCTTATACCTTGAACACCTCATTAAAGAGGTTGAATTGAGAAGTAGACAGAGGAAGACTGAGAATGAAAATATTTAATACAGTGATGCTCATACATTTGTAAGTACTTGAGGTTTTCATGCAAATAATGTGAACTTTGTTATACTTACTCTAAATATATCTTTAAATATATTGAAAAGTAATCTTATAATGTGAAATATCTAAGACAATAAAAGTTAACATATGTCATCTCTTTCAGGAGAACAAGTAGCAGTGTATTCTGACCTGCCTTTCAAATCACCTGTTCGAGACATTTCTTATCACCCACTTGAAAACTTGGCTGCATTTTGTGCATTTGGGCAGAATGAGCCAATTCTTTTGTATATTTATGACTTCCATGGTAAGTTTGCTACTTGATGAGTCAAGAATATTTAGAGTAACCTTTATATTTAGACTGAATCAGAATTATGAACTCTGAAAATTGTAGTCCTTTGTGTTAACAAAGATATCTTGAATATACTGAGTCATAGATTAAATTTGTTATTATATTTCTCTCTCCATAAGCATGATTATTATTAATTTTAAATGTCAGAAAACGTGTCCATAATGGTTGTGACCTTATTTGTGTATTCATAGATAAGGTAGTCATAACTTTCTTTGTAAATCAATTTAAATAGAAAATTCACTTAAATATGTTAACTAAATTTATTTTAAAGATTCGTTTTTTATTTTTTAAATATTTATGTATACAAGAACTGGGGTATAGGCAAGAGGTGTGGGGGGTAGAGGATTCATCAGAGAGAGTGGGCAGAAGAATGGGCATTTTACTGAAATACACTGCTGAGGGGAGCAGCGGCAAGATGGGAGAGGTCTGCTGTGCCAAATGTGGATTAGTTACTTGGCTTGGATTGAACTCAGACAGTAGCAACAGTAGCAGCTATAGTGCTGAGACTTAACCCCTACACCACCAGGGAGGCCCTATGTTAACCAAATTAAAAGATAAAAAACATTTAGGAAATGTGAACCTGTTATACTTTTAGCTGAATATTGAGTTAATTTCTTGTTTTATGTTTTTGCTCTTAGTAAAGCAAATAGTTTTAATAAACTCTTTGAGAGTTTCTAAAAAATAAAGCAAAAGATTAAGTATCAATAACAACAAAATCTGGAATTAGAAATCTAATGTCTTTTTCTACTCTAAAAATTACACTGTTCTATCATTGTGAGAAACAATAGGAAATAAAGACTTTGAACACATTCCTTTGGAATAGTATTGCATTCTCAAAATTATTTGGATTTATGCTGTCTTTGATATATTTCTTTAATTTCAGTTGTGAATTTATAGTTTGATTAGTCTACTAATTATACTGATAGTGCTGTCTCTCTCAAAACTGCAATTCCATTTTCTTCACATATTCCTATACATGTAAAAAGTTTTTATACTCTTTGATTTGCTTAGGATATCATGTATCATGATTGTTTTTACTGATTAAGCTAGGATGGCTTACAGTGGTATATATTCATAAATACATAAATATATATATAGGTAACAATAATGTGAAACTACTTGGAGAGTTTTACATTGATGAAATGTATTTCTTTATATTAAGACAGATTGTTTAGTGGCTGTGATAAGTGCTGAGTTACTGAATGACTGAGTTAAGTTCTAAACTTGAAGTTGTTGATCATAGCATGGACTTTATTATGCCTTTTCAGGCAAATTATGTTAGAAAATAATGTGTAAAATTGAGGTGTATCTTAAAGATCTTTAAGAGAAGAAATAATACATTTCACTAACACATTCAGATTTGCAGACAGCTATTACTAATGGTAGAATTGTTAAACAATTCAGTATCATTTACTCTTATAAGAAATTATTGACAAAAATAAACACTACCTGGTTATAGGAAAAGACAAATGAATTTTTCAGATCATCCCATGTCCAAATTTAGTGTCTACTTCAAACATGTATCTTAAACAAGATCTTTCTTTGTATCCACTCCACATCTTCACATAAAGGAGAGTTATGCTAACTACTTAATAATTGGAGCTGTTACACAGGAAATGGGCAGCACAGTTATGTCCTCAGACTTTTAAGGGGTTTCACAACAGTCTTCATTCAATTTCTAATTTGCTTTTTAAGCTTTTGAAATGTTTACTATGAATGTAAGTTCAAGTTCTACTCTTAACCTTTTTTCCTCAATTTATTTTATGTCATTTAATCAACAGAATAGCCCTAATAGGATTGCCCATTAAGTTTTTACACAATGGGCATTTAGACTAAGAACTCTATTCTAGAAGCATAAGTAGAAAGAATCCCAAAACAGGACCCCCAAAACAAGGGTTAAGGTTCAGTTCTGTATCTTGCATAAGCCTCTTGCCTTGCCAAAGCTGCATGTCTTTATCTGGTTACTGGCTCTACTAATACCTAGCCTATGTAAGAGATAGTCGTTTGTGAGGATACTAGGAGAGAGGGACTGTGAAAGTGTTACAGGGTAGCCCATCCTTTCCCCCCAACAAAAGTACTTCGTTATTTAATAAAAACTAAAAACAAACAGAAAGGTAAAATGGGTTGTTACATGCTCATTGAACCAGTATATATTTGACTTTACGGGAACTCACATTTTAATATACTGATAAGTATCTCTTTATGGAATGGAAATGAAATTAGTTTTTTTTTTCCCTTCTCTTTTTGTTCTTCAGCCTTCTTTTTATTTGAGCATGTACCTTTTTAGGTCAATTAGAAAACAAGTGCATAAAGTTAAGAACATTATGTTCTATCCATGCCTTGTTAATGGTAGTGTAGAAGATTTCAGAGGGTTTTAGAAATTAAAATATTCAAATAATACTCGTGAAATTAGAGTTATATTGTAGAATGTATTTATATATTTATTTATTTATTTTTAAAGATTTCTTTATTTATGCATACAAGAACTGGGTTACAGGCCAGAGGTGCAGGGGGGTGAGAGAATTCACCAGAGACAGAGTGGTGAACAGAACAGGCAGACTGACTGAAATACACTGCTGAGGGGAACAGTGGGCGAGACAGGAGAGGTCTGTTGCACCATGTGGGTAGCTCCCTGGCCAGCCAGGGACCAACTCCTGCTGCAGTGGCTGTGGATAGCTTCATGGTGCTGTGCTTAACCCTTTGCACCTCCAGGGAGGCAATGTATTTAGAGCACAATTTTTAATATACTAACACACCTTTTCAAACAAAACTCAATATTTCAACACATTTTCCCAACTCTTTGTTGCCTATTTTTAAAAAGAGGAAGCTTAGGAAGGAGTTATATAACCCCAAGCAGTCGAAGATTTAGCACAGTTCTTATGAATGGATATATATATCTCCTTAAGTTTTTTTTGGACTCTAAAATATTTCACTTGTTTAACACAAGTCAGAATCAGTCCAAATAGTCTTTACATTTTATAATCTAAATTGTATGTATTATTGGCCTATTATAGTTTTGCCTTCCCTTTTATTTTTTAATGCAGCAATATTTTGTTCAAACTTTCTTATCTGAAAATGAAGTTTAACTGCAGCTTTTGATAACTGCTTTAATGGTATAAAATTTGAACTATGTAGCATACTTACATGATTTTTAAATGGTATTTATTAGAGTTGGTGGTATACATAGGTAATTTGCAGGGAAAATGGAACAAGCTCATTTTTTCTAAGTCAGATTTACTGCGAATGAGACCACAATGGTAGCTAAATGTATCATTCATCTTTCAGTTCTAGCAAAATCTGTGAAGAGTCAGCAAGCATCTTTCCCTGTTAAGCATATTTTCAGGTTGTGGTCTTTTGGGTCTTTCATTCTACTGACTTTTTGCTTTTTTTGGTAAGAAATATAATTTTTACTTTCAGAAACCAGTTTTATTTGCCTGATGTTGAAAGGGTTAATCATCTAGTAATACAAAATTTAGTCACAGAGTACCACAGACAATGTACTTTTAGGATTCCCATAATAACAGGGTACTAGTCAGAGAAACAGCTTGTACTGAATTAAATTTATGGAGCTATAGTCCAGCAATTAATTTTCTGTTATTAATGAGTATTTGTCTAACCTGAAGAAACATGTCCTACATTTAATAATAATTATAGCTAGTGCATAGCACTTTCTGTGGTCCTAGTACTGTTTTTAGCACTTTACATATATTTATTTTTCACAATAATCTTAAAAAATAAATATGGTACTTATTCCCATTTTATAAGAATCAAGACTTAGATCCAGAAATCTGGATTTGAAGTCCAATCTCTTATTTGCTAACTACTTTTTTAGCAGATTTCCTGAAATACTAGCTTTTGATTGTCTGATAAACAAATATTTTATTTTTCCTGCATTAGCTTTTATTCTATGTCACTCTCTGGAGTATGTGATTTCTTAGTGTTATCTATACTTTGTAGGAAGCAGAGATGGAGGCTTATTCATGTTTTTCTTATCAGTGCCTCACCTAAATACACATAATACATATTTATATAATATTTTATGTGGGATCAAGTCTTAATTTGGAAATTTCTCAGCATTATTTGATAATCCTAAGTAATGAGCTAAATTTTTCACTAGGTGGCAATATCTCCCCCAAATCAGAATTAATTTTGGAGTGCTTTCCAGTCTTAGTGTCTGATGCAAAATCATCTTTATTGAGCACTTACTGTGTGCCAAGTTGGAGAAGGCTATGAAACCTAGGAAATACATGCAGATGGATTATCATGCTCTTTTCCAGTCCTTTGTGCTTCTTAAATAGTTAAACCAATAAACTAAAATGATTTTATTTATAGAATTCATGTTCATTAAGGACCTACATTATTATTTTTTCACACTAATATACTCTGTGAAATGTATGCTTTTAGGCGCCTATAAACATTTTGTTTATAGACTCATGGACTAGAATCCATGGTGTTTGTAATGCCCTATATTGTACTTGGTGTATTACTGATATACAGTAAGTGTTTGAAATCATAATCACAGAAATTATAGAAAAGCATTTTTCCCTTAAATTTTATAAAAGTATGGAACGAAAAGCATGGTTAATTAGTAAATTTGAGGCTAGTAGTGGTGGTGTTGGTAGCAGCAGCAGCAGCAGCTAACATTTATTAGACATTTACTGTGTGCCCCTTACTTTTAAGAGCATTTGCACACACACATATAGTACTCCCAACACCCCCAAGGTTGGTGCTATTACTTGTCCAGATTATGAAACTGAGGCACAGGGAGAATGAGGTAATTCACTTAAGAGCACACAGTTGGTAAATAATAAAACTACAATTGATTTCTGGCTGACTTCAGAGCCTTTCTATGCTCTTAAAACAGTAAGCTGTCACAGCTACTTAGTCTTTGCATGTCCTGTTTCATCAAGTAACTTAAGAAGGTAACTAAGTTTCCTGTGGTGAAATATATTGTT